CACCTCCGCTCCCAGGGAGTGGCTTCGGTGGACTCCCCTCGCTTCGAGGGGGGAACAGCCTGGAGGATAGTGCATAGCGCTGTCCCAGGTGATGCCGCAAACCTGTCTGGAGCTCTGGGCTGACGCCTTCCCTGCGCCAGCCCAGTTCCTTTTCCCTTTTTCATTCATGGGTCTGGGCGCTCTCCCCGCGATCCTTCGGGTGGGGGGGCGCGTCACTGACAGATTCCGGGGCGGGCGTCATGCCCTGTCTCCATTCTTAAGTGAACGTCTTCGCGCGCCGCGCGACGTTTCCGAGCAGTGTCGTATCTCCCTCCCCTTCTTCCACCTCCAGTTTCGTCCTGCTCCTCCTCATCCTCAACATGCTACTACTCCTGCCCCTCCCCCCCGCCCCCCTCCACATCATCATGATCCTCCTCCTCCTTCTCCTCCTCCTCCTCCATCCTACTCCGTGTCCTCCATTCCCAATCCCCATCGTCATCCTCACCGCTCGCCGTCGTCGCCGGTCACGACCTCCATCGTGCGCATCTGGCAGCAACGGAAGCGTCCTGGATCGGCGGCACTGGCCGGAGGCCACTACAATATCCTGGTGTTGGGCCCTCGTTCTTAATGAAGCAGCGCCCCGCGTGTATGCTCCTCCTCCTTTTCCTCCTCCTCCTACTCCTTCCTCGCGACTCCCATTCCTGCATCTGCCCTCCGCATGTCACGACCCATCATCACTACCGTCATTGTCATCATCACCGTCGCCATCACACACATTTCAGCACACCCCTCCCACGCATCGTGGCCCCACCGCGAGCTCAACCGAAGTCCCCAATGGATGCGGCTGCATGCGTCCGCCAGACTCATTTCGGCACACCCCTCACCTGATTCGTGGCCCCATAACAGGAGCTTCACCTAAGGCCCCAGTGGCTGCGGCCGCATGCGTCAGACACTCATTCCGGCACACCACTCACACGCTTCGTGGCCCCAGAAGGCCGCCACCTGAGGCTCCAGTGGCTGCGGCCTCATGCGTCCGCCAAACTCATTTCGACATACGCCTCGCACGTTTCGTGGGCCCATGGAGAGACCCACCTAAGGCCCTCCCCTCCCCCTCATACGTTTTGTGGCCCCATTGGGAGCTCCACCTGAGCTTCCAGCGACTGCGGCCGCATGCGTCCGCCACACTCTTTTCGGCACACCCCTGACACGTTTTGTGGCCCCATAGGGAGCTCAACATAAGAACCCGTGGACTTTGCCGCATGCGTCCGCCACACTCATTCTGGGCACGCCACTCCTGTTTCGTGGCCCCATAGGGAGCTCCACCTGAGGCCCCAGTGTTTATGCCTCCTGCTCCCTCCTCCTGCTGATCCTCCTCCTCATCCTCATCCTCTTTCTCCTCCCTCTTGCTCCCTGAGGGGTTGCGGAGTGCGCTCCTGGGGCGCTGCGAAGTGCACAACTGTCGTCACTTTTTTCGGCTGTTGGGGGGTCTAGCGGGGTGGAGTTGCACGCGGATTCAGGCGGGAACTCGCGGCTCATTGGGGGGCTGCGAAGAGCGCAACTGTCGCCACTTCCGTGAGCTGCTGGGAGGGCCAGCGGAGTGGAGTTCCACGCGGACCACCGAACTTGGAAGTTCAAATTTCGAACCTCCGCCTTCAACGACGCGATCGCCCCTCTGGAGAAAGCTGGGGACGAAGGAAGAGGGAAGGAGGAAACGGTCGGAAGAGGGAGGAGGAGACGCGGGAAAGAGAGAGGAGGGGGGAGGAGTAGTGAGGAGGATGAGCAGGAGGAGCATGCGGGGCACAAGGAGGGTGGGGGAACTGACCCCCCGATCGGCCGCCGCCCAGTGTCGCCACATTGGAAGGCTCCTGAGATGTAGCAGGGAAAAGTGGAGGAGAAGGACTGGATTCACAACTACGTATGATTGGTCCCTCGCCAGGGTAGTTCCATCATTTGGTTATTCATGACTTTATGTATGTTCTTCTCGTCGTTCCCCACATCTATCCTACATGCCTCGAAGATTGCCGCTTCTCTCTCATCATGCAACCTCGACGTATTACAGCTGCTTGCAATATTCTGAAACCAACTGGGTATGTGTTGTTTTGTAGACCTATGATGCCCCCTGTGGCTGCCTTACCTGGCAATTCCTTTAGAGGCGGCCTTACGAAAATATGGCATTTCAAGCAACCTCACACAGGAGTTCTTCCGTGCAGACCCCCACGTTTGAAACCAGCTTTGTGACAGCCTTTGCACATGCATTCGACTTGCGACGCCCTTACAACTAACATTGCCAATGTGGGGTATATGCAGTGACATCCGCCAAATCTTTGCAGCGGCCTGCACACAAGAATTTCTTATGTGTGCGGTCTGGCAGCAAGATTTCAAACGCAGGATATGCAGCGGCGGCGGCGTGAACACAACATTTCAGGGGCAAGTCATGGACGCCTCCCATGGCATTGCTGGCTCTTGCGAATCGACGCGAATCGACGCAAAATCGACGCTCATGGACACTAACCGCGGCGCTATATCATCCATTCAAAGACGCTAACCGACGCTGGAGAAAGACTTAAGAGGGTATAATTAACTCCCATACTTTGCTAACGAACCACAAACTACAACGGACACCTGGCAACAAACATAATCAACCGCACAAACAGATGTCTCCAAATGGGAACACAAACACAACTACTAGAACACCCGTGTATCTCGCTAGTTGTCTGTCGCAAATACCAAGCAAAAACTTTACTTCTGGTACCCGTGAACTGGACACCACACTCGGAAACCTTTTCGTAACAGCCGTTGCAAGAGGTTTCCGCGTGTGGCGATTTGCAACAAACAATTTGTTCAATGGTGGGGGGTCTGCAGTGGCTTCCAACCTGAAATCATGTTGTAGCAAATTGTACAACAAGGGTAACGTGATGGCGGTGTTGCATAAGTAATCCCTGTGCGCAGGCTGCAAAACAATGATCTTACAACAGGAGTTCACGTGCGGGGGATCTGAGATCCCCCGCACGTGCAATCCTGTTGCAAAATCTCCGCAATCATAATGCTTTTGTACAGGCTGCTTCACAACGACTTGAACTTTTAATGGTGACATCCACTGCAAATTCCCGAAACTTGAAATGCGGGCGGGCGGTCGCAACCAAACACATATTTGTTGCTAAGGGCTATTCCACAGTAATTTCAAGTGTAGGGGACCCGCAACATAAAAATAACGAGAACCATCGACTGGCTCAGTGATCATCCTACTTTCCCGTGTGAGGTCGCATGGATATTCTTGTGTTTATGGTTTCCCCGTTTCTCAGGTAAACTTCTGCGGCCCCACGGAGATCGCAATGGCGGGCGAGAGGCTGGTTTGGTAGCAGTTTATGAACAGAAGGGGAAACCATGAAAGAGCGCGGGCGCAGGCTTTTTGACATCCCTGGATGCGAAACCATATGTTTGTAAATGTTTTCGGGGCACTCTTTTTAAAAACCTTTACAAAACGTGAGGTTTTGACAGATGCCGGCATGCGCGCGGGACGACTCGCGCGTGTGCGCTTCGTTCCACAAAAACTGTTGACTTTTGAAAAACGAATGCGTGCGCATAGTGTTTTGCAGAAGATGAGGGGGGAACCGATACTGGCCTGCCTGGGACGGTATGAATTCAAATTTAGGATGGACGATGGGGCAGAAGCATAAGCAAATGTCAATGCGAAAAGGTGGCCAGTTAACCCTGGGGGGGGTATATCCTAATACTCTTTTAGAAAAGAGAATACATGTGTTACCATCTACGTTGTGAAATATGTGATGTGCAATACATGTGGTGCAATATTTGTTGCGCAGTCAATGTAGTACAATCGACGTTGCATGCGATCAGAAGCGCGCCGTCGGCTCGAACACCAACTATGCAACCGACGTGCTGCAATCTACGTGGGGCAATATATGTGCAGAAATCGATGTGGGCAATAGATGGGGAGCAAGCCACGTGGTGTAACGTATGGTGTGCAATCGATGTTGTGCAACATATGTTATATGTTGTGCAATAGATGTTGTGCAGCCTTTGTGGGTCAATCTATGGTGTACAATCGATGTGGTGCAGTATATGATGCGCAATCGATGTTTCGTGCAATCTACGTAGTGCAATCCAACGGCGGCGACGGGCGGCGACATGGCGGCGACGGGGCGGCGACGGCGGCAACATGGCCGCCAGACCGAAAGCACGGCCCAGACGAGTTGCGGCGACGAGGCGGCGACGGCGGCCACATATCCGCCAGACCGAAGACACGGCCCAGTTCCTTAGAACAGAAGTAAGAAGCTCTAAATGCAAGTACTGTTTGGGGGATATGTAACCAACAGGACTCCTCGAGGTCATGACGGCTCCAGGAGCTTCCCGCGTGCTCCTTGGGCCCCGGCGCGTCTTCCCGCATGACGTTCGTACCCAAGAGGGCCCCAAGACGGACCAAGCGCGCCCCAAGAGGCCCCAAAGACTCTCCAAGAGGGCCCCGAATCGACGAACAATCGATCCAAGACGCCCAAGATGGCCAGACAACTGCTGATGAAGAGGCGCCCAGGACGTCCCAAGAGAGGCCCAGTAAACTCCCAAGAGACCCCGAAGAGACACACACCGTCAAATCCCCTTTGGAAAACGTGCATTGTAGCAAATACACTGTTTCAGCCTCACTGCGCTCAAGACGGCCCAGGAGACGCCCCAAGGCCCCGAAATTGCACCCAAGAGCCTCCAAAACTGCCTCCAAGGGGCCCCAGAAAAGGCTTCCCAAGAATCCGAACGAGCATCCAAGAGGCCTACAGTTCTGACAGGCACGGTGGCGGGATGGATATATACATAGACATGGATATGTCTATGTATAGATTTTTATATATATATAGCGGTGTATCGATCAATCTACCTGTCGATAATTCGCATGCGGACAGTCATGTCGGAGAGGAGACCATTGAGCGATGGGCATGTCTCTAGTGAATGATTCCACCATATGCCCAATGATGCTTAGCAAGGCGGTAGAAAAGAGCGAAATGAATAGTGTCCTCTGGGTACAAAGTCCAGAAAGACGTGTAATTGATTGACGCCGTGTCGTACATGTTGACATGAAGCAGCCGTCTGATAGGATGATTGGCACGAAATGACTCCCTCATCGACGTGGAGAAAGCATTCGACACAATCCTGGCAAGCGGTGCAAATTACCGACGCTCCAAACACATTCTGCACTGACTACTGCTGAACCTCTGCCACGGCCGGACATGCTTGTAACTACTATGTCCTTTTCTTGCTTCTGCTGCCACCCAGGCAATATTACCGTCCATCACACAGAGGTGCATATTCCTCCCCCGATCTGCAACGCAGGGACAACGAGAACGTTTGCGGACTCATCCTGATGGCGCAACAGTCTGTTCCTGGGCAACCGAGGTCCAGCCAGCCGGCCTACCCCCATTAGGTGGAGATGTATGCCGTCTTCTTCGGGTGTCGCAGCATCTCTCCCCACCCAGAGGGGGAACGCTGGGAGAGCAGCCGTATCCTGTCCTGAACGGGGTCAGGATGGTTCTGACGATGGTGAAGAATAGGGAGGACTGATAACGAAGCCACCACCAGCAGGGCCCGAGACATCGCCAATATTCATACTGTGGAGGTATCATGGACCTCTTCGCTGGAGGTGGCCCGCTGGTGGTGGTGTCGAGTCTCGCTTCCCTTTGCTCCGACAAGGATGATGAGAACGATGAGAAGCATCTGCGCAACGATTACTTCAAGGAGTGCGACGAGGAAGGAACATGGGATGCTTGAGTAAAACATGTTGTAGGGTAGAGTGAACGGAGAAAAATGAGGAGGGCAGGAGGTGGATGAGATGGAGGAGGAACCTCCTCCTCCTCCTCCTCCTCCTCCTCCTCCTCCTCCCAGTTCATCCCCTGACAATCAACGGGTCGGGCGGACTCAGGCTGGCCGAGCGGGCGGAGCCGAACGGGCGGGTCGGGCGAGCCGGGCACACGAGCGAGCGCGAGGACCGAGCTCGTGGCACACGGGCGCGCGGGCGGACCCCTCACGGGCGGGGCCAGGGGGCGGACCCTATTGGGCGGGACGGGACGAACGGGCGGCCCATCGACGCGCGTGGGTCGGGCGGGCAGGACAGTGAGGTGGGCGGGCGGGGCCCGGGGGCGGACCCCCAAACGGGCGGGGCTAGGGGGCGGAACCTATCGGGCGGGGCCCGGGGGCCCTGTGCTGGGCGGGTCAGGGGCCGGGTCAAGGTCAGGTCGCGCGGAGCACGGGAAGCGGGCGGGCGAGGTAGCACACAGGCGACGGAGCGGGCGGACAGCACGGGGGGTCCGGGCCGGGGCGGTCTCGAAGAGGAGCCCTGTACGAGGGGGCCCCCTCCAGTGCAAGGCCGAGCACAAAGGGTTTCGGGCCCGCCTGCCCGCGGGGACTTGCCGTTTGCTCGAGTGACCCCCCAGCGAGCGGGTCTCGAACAAAAAAGGGAGAGACTTGGTCGAGGGGGGTACTCCCGACCAAGTCCCGAAGAGGGGGGACTCCCTCGGGCACAGGACTACGCTGCGCCTCATTCGCGAATATGTTCTCAATTTTTTCCATCTGTGCACAGTTCCCCCCTTCTCCTCCTCGCCCAAGGGGCGATCGATATTTCCAGCATCCCGGCCCTCCGGTCAGCACCATGGCGACATGGCCCCTGATGAATTCCGAGAGGCTCAAGAATGTTCCAGGGGACTACGCGATATATCCAGGAAGCCTTTGAGAGGCATTACGGGCCCGAGGTCATCCCTGGACCGACCGAACTCAGATGAAAGACTCCTGCGATGGATCTGAGACAGCAGGAGCAGAGGCGCACTGATCGAGCGGGAGCAGTCCAGTGGGTGGCTACCAGGTGGTCCACTGCGGTCACCTTCAAGCCCATCGTACATCTCCATGCGTACCTCGTGCGCAGAATAGCGCTGGCTGCTCAGCACCCACCCGTGGCTCCGATGCCCCTCGCTCGTGTCTGCCGCTCCCGCCCGGGCACGCGCTCTTGGATGGCAACGCCCACCTCCCGTGCCTCTTCCCGCCAGCCCGCGGCTCCCCACGCCAGCTGTCTCCCAAACGGAGGGGCAACGTCAGGGTGAAACGGATTAGGAAGGGAAGCATCGACCTAGAATCGGCGACGCATCCTCGATAGATCGGCGATAGGCCCCCGAGAGCATACTTCGCGTTCCTGGGCGGGGTGGGCTATCGGGCCCCTATCGGCGACTGATGGGCGATTGCGGGCCGATGCCTTACCCCCTGAATGGTAAGGTAATGCTCCTGGTTTTGCATAAACAGCCCCCCCCCGGCAGTCCCGGCTGGCCTCGATAGGCTCTTTTCTCTGAATTTCGGCGGTGGACAAACCTCCCTTTAGTAGAAACCTCCCCTTCGTGAAAACGGCCTGGGACCGAAACCGACGGACCCGGACCCGCAAAGATGACGGCCGCGACGCCCTCTCGCGACACGAAAAGGGCCAATTCGCTAATCGACGTGTCAGGGCAGGAGGTCTGTCCTCCTCTGACTGAACAGTTGGCCTCAACAGGCCCCCCGAGTCGTCCGGGGCGGTCTCGACACCTCAACCCTGGGCCGGGGAGCGCACCAGGAGCGCCGCCGGAGGCGGCGCCAGGGCGCCGCGACCGCCCTGGACTGCTCGGGGGACCTGTGGAGGCCAGCTGGGACTGCTCCGGGGGCCCGTTGCGGCCAGCTACCCCGGAGGGGGGCTGTTTGCGTGCAGCGCGAAGCCTTACTATCACCTCCGAGCACATTCCCCCCTCACTCTGCCCCTGACCAGCACCCACCTCCTGTGACTCCTGCGGCGCCGGCTTCCTCCGGGGCCCGGCGGTCCCCGGCAGTCCCCATGTCCCCTGCCCGGAAGGTCGGGGGGCCTCCCGATTGACCGGCGCAGCCCCCCTGGCCCCCTCTGCCCGATGACACAGCCGTCCTTATCCCTCCTCCTCCCTCCATCCCTCCTTCTCTCCACCCTCGCTTCCTCCTCCGCGTGCCCCTCCACCTCCCCCTCTCTCTCCTCCTCGTCCTCCTCCCTCCCTCCCTCCCTCCCTCCCTCCTCCGCCTCCGCCTCCGCCTCCTCCTCCTCCTCCTCCTCCTCCTCCTCCTCCTCCTCTCCACCCTCTTTCACCCGTCCTTCTCCTCCTCATCCATGGCTCATTCCGCCCCCTCACTTGGGGACAGCACGAAGCCCTTGTTTCCCAGAAAGGCCGACACAGTCGCAAGATCCTAACTCGGTAACTGCTGAAATGGTCTAGATCTCAAAAGGATGAACACTTCACGAAATAAAGCAAGCCTCATATAAAAAACATGCACCATACACAAGCACAATACCCACGCATCCGTATTGGTTGATATCCCATGGCTGCCTAGGACCAGATTCGAGGTCAGGGGGCTGTGAAGTATGCGTTCTGTCACACGAGACTTGGGCGCTGTCAAGCCTCATAATCCGTCTCTGCATCTGTTTCCTGATCATCATTCTTATCATCGTCATCATTATCACTATCCATCCTGCATGTTGGCACAGATGACGGATTATCTGAGGATATCTTGGCAGCCTGAGGTAATGTTGGAGCACTGCTTATCGACGGGAACGAATGCCCCCCATTGCCAACATGCGTGGGATTGGAAATTCATGCTGGCAGAGGCCTCCTTCTCTCTCTCTCTCTCGGCATCTCTCACTCTCTCTCTCTCTCTCTCTCTCCCCCTTCTTCTCACTCTCTCTTTCTCTCTCTCTCTCTCTCCTTGCGCTCGCAACACAGAAGATCCCCTCAAAAAGGGTCCCTCTAATGTGGATGTATTACGACTACTTCCGTTAGCGAAGATTCCTAAATCAGTATGCCTTCAGTACGGGGTCATGAGTGAGGTGTCCTTTAGCCCGAAGTCCTCAGGGAGGAGGAATTGGATAAGGGGGTTTGGCTGCTCCCTCATACAGCCCACAACACAGAGGGGAAGTGGCAGGAGGAAATGGCTGTTTCTCCCTCTCTCTCTGTCTCTCTCCCTCCTCCCCACTTCACGTTCACGCAAAGCCAGCCAATGAAACCCCGATGCGACGCCATGCGAACGCCTCCACCCACAGGGGTCATTGCTGGAGGTCCTTAGTTCAAGTGCTTGCAGCAAGGACCCCTAAGAAGCATTCCTTGTGGTGAGGGTTCCTTGCCATAGTCTTCTTGAAGAACCACTAGTAAGGATGCCTGTCTCCAGGAACCCTGAGTGCGGTTTCCTGTAGTAGTCAGAACTCCTTGACGAGGGTGCCCAGCCGCACACTCCAGAATCCTCCGATGATCTCTTAATGCTTGCCTTAGCAACGGCCCTGGCTCCCATGTCTCTGACACCTTCTGCCCCCGCGCCCCATCAGTCGTCACACTTCGCGTCATCTCTCACGTGCTTGGTCCGATGTGGCCTGACCGTTTATAATTAACTGCTGGTTCCCTATGTCCACTTCGATTCGCGACGCTGATCTTGGCTATGATAGCGCAAGCGTGCTGGGGCACTTGGCATGCTCCCAATCGTCGTCCCCTGGCTTCACAACGCGTCCAGCATGGCACCTGGAGCTTCGTATGAGGGAGACGGAGCGGCAGGCTCGAAATCGGCAAGCTCGAAATTGGCAAGCACACAAACAAACCTTGTCCAACACCAACAGCGGCCGTTGCTAATTAGGCAAGAGACGCCCTGACCCAAATGGACATCGTGCGCACAGGCTCCGCTTTCTGTTTAAAATTGGTGGGAACTGCTGACGGTCCTTGTCCCAATCCTTTCCGTCCCCGTTTAGGGCCCAAGAACTCCAGGACCACTTCCCTCGGTTGGCGGCGAGCCTGCTGGGGGGGAAGGGACAGTGTGGACGCCTTCTGAGGAAGCGGCGGGGCGCCTCAGAAGCCCCCCCCCAGGCTTCTGGGAGGAGCATCTGAGAAGGCTTCTTGCAAGAAGGGAAGAGGCTGGCTTCTAAGACTTCTGGCCTGCTTTGCAAGCAAAAACTGTCAACAACAAATCGGGAAATCGGATCGGATCGGAACGTACCTCGAATCGGGGGCCATCGGTACGGAATGGGGATCCGGGATCGAATCGGATCGGCTGCGCCAAGATACCCAATAAGACCATGCAAACATCGGGACACATCAAATCGTCGGAGCATCGGAATCGAAACAGATCGAGCAGGCCAGGTTCGATATCGGATCGGATCGATCGGATCGGGTGAGAAGGACTGGGTGCAATAAGATCGGGATCGGATTAGAAACGCTGGGAACAATATTAGGCACATGCTAACATGGATCACAGATACGTGGATCTAACGCGTGGGCGCAAGATCCATGGCCCAGGGTGGAACATCTAGCCAACGCATCATGATCCATGGCTTCAAGACGTCGTGGTGACGGATGAGACGGCGGACTCTCCCCACATACTGAGGGGCACCGATAGGGGGTGTCTGGCTCAGATGGGGGGGTGGGGGTATCGAGCTGGAATCGCCGATAGATCGGCGAAAGGCCCGCGGTACGGAAACCGCACGTTCCTGGGCGAGATGGGCCATCGGGCCCACATCGGTGATCCATGGTCGACTGGGGGTCGATGTGACCCCCCTGAGCCTGTTCTCCAGCGTTGCCCCTCCCTCCAATGCACCGGACCCTGCTCCCGTGCCCTCCGTCAGAGTGGGCCCCCGACGCAGGATGCGCAAAATTTCCGTCGACATGGCCCTCTTCCGTCCCCCCCCCCGCACCTCCTCGTTATCCTCTCTCCTCGAGCTCGTGGCCGCGACTGGGGCTAGATCTTGTGGCGAAAGCAATGCGCGTGCGCGTTCCAACTCGTCGCTCTGCCGACATCTGCCAGCCACCTCAACTTCTTCAGAGAGGGGCAAGACATGTATACAAACAAATAGCCCGCTAGCACCAATTGATCGCAGTGATGCGCAACTCGCCCGAGCCTGGAGAAGCTTGTTTTGGCACCCGGAGTGGTGCAGGTACGAGACTCGAGCAGACGCAGCTGCACCTCTACGGCGCGGGTCCGCACTACTGTATGGACCCTGTTAAGCAAGGCCAAGGGGCAGGGGGCGGTTGAGACAGTTCTGACAGAGATATGAAAGACGTAATTCTTAAACTCCTCCTCCTCCTCCTCCTCCTCCTCCTCCTCCTCCCTCGTCCGCCCAGCTCCACATCCTCGTCCCCCTCTTCGTCGTCGTTCTCCTCCACCTCCTCCCGCGCTGATGATTTGTATGCCTTCTATATTTATATACATATATATACACAGTAACGGGGGACTGGGTCCAGGGGCCAGGACCCCGACTGCAAATGTGGGGCCCAGCGCACCTGGAGCCCTGCCAGAGCGCCAAGGGCCGTCCAAGATTGCCCGAAGATGGCTTCGGAACGCTCGAAAACGCGCTCCGATGGCTCCGGATGCCTTTGAAGACGACTCCCATGACGCCAAGGTCCCTGAAGGCCCCGAAGACGCCCCAAGAGGCACCCCGAGAGAGCCCCAATAAGCAAAGCATCGTCGATTTCCTGCGGGAAAACTGATACTTTTGGCGTGTTCAAAATTTGGGCTTCCACTGCGTCCAAGACGGCCCAAGAGGCACCCAAGCCGGTCGAGGACGCCCCCAAGAGGGCTCCAAGACGGCCCACGAGGGGGCCAGGACGGCCCACGAGACACCTAAACCGCCCAAGAACGCCCCAAGTCGGCGCCCAAGACGGGGACGAGGAACCGAAAACTCGCCCCTTTTGGCCAAGAGGCCCCCATGAGACCCCAAGAGGCTCCAAGAAGCGTCCAAGAAGCCCCAAGAGGCCCTCAAGAGACCCGCAAACACACAAAAAGAAGCCTCGAAGACGCCCCAAGGGGCACCCCAATAGAGCCCAATCAGCAACACATCGTCGATTTCCTGCGGGAAAACTGATACTTTTGGCGTGTTCACCTTTTGGGCTTCCACTGCGTCCAAGACGGCCCAAGAGACACCCAAGCCGGTCGAGGATGCCCCCTAAGAGGGCTCCAAGACGGCCCACGAGGGGGCCAAGACGGCCCACGAGACGCCCAAACCGCCCAAGATCGCCCCAAGTCGGCGCCCAAGACGGGGACGAGGAACCGAAAACTCGCCCCTTTTGGCCAAGAGGCTCCCAGGAGACCCCAAGAGGCTCCAAGAAGCGCCCAAGAAGCCCCAAGAGGCCCCCAAGAGACCCGAAAAATTATCAAAAGAGGCCCCGAAACAGCCCCCCTATGGGCCCCCCAAAACGGCCCAAGAGAGCCCCAGGGCGCGCCCAAGAGGGTCGACCAGAGAGCTGGTCCTACTTTCCACACTCTACACAGGGTCCTGTAAATGCCCCGCGGTGCCTCAAGCAGGCGTTGCCACTGGAGTCCTCACTTGCCTGAACCAAACTCCAACTATTATTTCGCAAAGCGAATCATGTGTCTGCGACACGCTAGAACCTAAGCGCGCGCGAAGCGCGCGCGTGGTTCTAATATATGTATATATATATATATATATATATATATATATATATATATATATATACATACATACATACATACATACACACATACATACATACATATACGACTATATATATGTATGTATATGTATGGGCGTTCGCCTTTTCTCGTCCTCAACCTCTCACTCCTTCCTCCCCATCCACTTATTCGTTTCGTTCAGGGCTTGTCTCGCCTTGGGGAAGGGACTTCGACGCCCCTAGCGTGCGGGGGCCATGCGGCATAATGTCTCCTCCTCATTTTGCTCCCCGACCTAGCCTCCTCCTCGTCATCAGATTCCTCATCTTCTGCCCGAGGAGTGCATGAATCTCCCCCTGCCTCCTTCATCAACCTCCTTCTGTGCCCGAGGACTCCCTCCTCCTTGTCTTCCTGTCCAGACTCCCTGCCTCCTCCCCCGTCCTCCCAGCCTCCCTATCCCTCCTCCCTCGTCCTACTCTCCCCGCCTCCTCCTCCTCCCCCCTCCTAATCCTCCTCCTCCTCTCGACCCAACTCCGGCATGGTAGTTCTGCGACGGAATCGAGCTGTTCGAGGGGGACCAATGCTGCATACATTCTGCAACTCATCGCGATTAGCAATATTTCGCAACACAATGGTACGACCGAACACATACGCCATGGACTTCCCGTCCTTCACGCATTGACACAAGCCGTCAGATGCAACATCGCCGCAAACAAGCTCAGTAAAGACGCGGTTGTACCGTGTCTACAGGACAAGGTGCAAAGAAAGAACCTTCTCCTCGGTCGAAGAAAGCAGCTGCGCCGAGACGCTCGAACTGCTCAGTGTCGCGCACGGGTATGGACCTGTAGGCCACTGCGCACTGATTCGCAGAATGTTCCAGACGGGTCGAGCATCAATTCACACCTTCACGACCACGTCACAAACCGAGGCCACTAGACCAAACATGGGCACAGCCAGATGTGACATATGACGCATGTCTACAATGTCTACGTAAGCCTGTGATTCCAACAAATGCCAGCCGAAAAAGGGCACGGCATCTGTCACATGTTCAATGCAGTCGCGCTGGTTTCACTGATTACTCCCACCAATTATCAACATGATAGCGGCACCCAACGTCTGCGACGTGCTCACAACTTTTAACATTGTCGGATTCGGATGGCGGAACATGAATGCTCACCACACCGCACATCAACCTGCAAAAGTCTCAAATCACGAAACGTACAAGCATGGACCTGGACGGCGTGCAGAGGACACCCGATAGGACACACGTCTCTTCCGAGGGCAGCCCATGCGCCAGACTTGAAGAGGACGTGAAACGCCATAGACATAAAACAATACGTAGCACACTTGATCTTGAAAATCGACCTACTCATCAGACCCGACTGTACAATCGTATAGACTGGCACGCGGGTGGGTCAGGACCCAAGCAGCTTGCTGAACGGATCGACGACGAATTCTCCGAGGCCTTCAAATTCTGGATCTTTGTTGCACCTGAGGTCCTTCCGGTGGCTCGCTAAACGCCCGTCTCCAGACGACCACCTCTGCCGACTGTTCGAACCTGCTCCTGGTCGACCATTCCGCGAGGTGCCGATCTTGTTCCCTGGCGGCGCGCACGAAGGGGCAGCGCCAGGGGGGCGGCCTTCTGAAAAGGAGGGGGAGCTTCTAAAGAGGGCAGGGGGCCCTCCGAAGCCCTCCCGACTTCTATGCGCGCCGCCAAATTCCATCCGATGCACACAGCTGCGATGTGTTCTGGTGGCGGCTCTACCAAACAGGCAGTGCGCTGCTCGACTGGCCAGGTGAGAAACAAACACACACACACATGGAGTACGGACGCTCCAATCCTGATGACAACCCAGAAGCAGCTGAAACATATCCAAGAGCCACTGCTCCACTCAGCATGTGCCTCGTACCTTCCTCCATACCCCCTCTACTTACCTGTCGAGCCCTCGAGGCGCCGTCTGGGTGGGGCTGCCTCATCCTTCTCCCCCTCTAGTAAGGCTTCGGGTTGCCCACAGACAATGCCCAGCCCCCCCCCCAGGTTGCCCGGGCTCCCGTCAAGCGGCCCCTCCAGTAGTTCAGTAGCCACGGGACTATCTCCAATGGCACCACCTGGAGCCTTGCATTAACCAATTCTGTCCTCCCGTATCCTCCTCCTCGTATCCTTGCGAGCCTTGCATTAACCTCCTCCTCGTATCGATGATCCTCAGGCCGTGTGGCAGCGCCAACGTATGCTTGTCCACCGAAGCCCTTCGATACTACGAAGGCAACGTACTGAGGGCCGACACGCGCTGCGTGCTGTTGGTGAATACGAGCGAGGTAAACACGCCTTGGGCTGACACGCGGATCGTCGCTCATGATCCCTGCCTGCGGCGCCGCTTTGGCCCGAAGCCGTTCTCAATGAGCCACTGCTGTCCTCCTCCCACAGCCCGTGGACGTCGGGGCCACGGCGCTCCCCCCGCTGCTTCCCAACCGTACAGCTGCCTGGCACGAGGGAAGCGGGCTCTGAGTGAAACGGATCCTGCTGGCGGTTCAAAGATTTTAGAAAGCAACTTCTGGGAGGTCTTCGTAAGCACGATGAGATGCGGTTGAGCCAGAATGCGGTGTCACTAGGCCGGGTTAGCCCTGATGGGGCCCAAGATTAAAACACGATTGACCCTGATTGACCCACATGGGACCAACAAGAATGGTACCGAATTCAGCCGATTCTCGACCGCAGGTGTACCAGCGCCGATGCTGAATTCTCGCAAAATCTGCACCCCAAAGAACGGATCCTGAGGGAAACGGGTCTCGGCGGTTGACAGATGGGGGCTTCAGGTATGGTATGGGGCTCTGTGGACGAGGGGCTTCAGACAGTGTAAATTCAACCTGGGAGTTGGACAGTCGATCCCTGACCCGAGGGCCTTCCAGGGTCCAGGGTCGTTCTTGATGGTCTGGGCCCAGCGCCGACCCAAGAAATACGCGCGGAGCTCTAAACGTGCATGATTATGTATAGTTTTCTGCTCCTTGGCCTCGGATGCATGCACACCTGCCTCTAGCAAACCCTCCGACTGCAGACTCGGAATCCTGCGCCGCGCGACTGGAGGCCTCTCCCAGGTGGACTCCAAGTGGATGGGGTCAGAGGATCCCGCCGCATCGCCGATGCATCGGCGATGCACCGACGACGTCGGCGATTTATCGGAGCCTTCGGCGTGGCGAAAAAAAATCCGCCGACCATTTGGCGTGTGTGAGACGCTGTCGTCGTCTTCGTCGTCGTCGTCTTTGTCGTCGTAGGCAGTCCCAAAGCAATTGAGGAACGAACCAGGAATAGGAAGGTCCTATTAAAATCGATTCCTCTCTCATTTTCCATTCCCTGACGGGGGGTGTTGGCTGCGGGGAGGTACGGGGAGGTGCCCGGTCAGATTACCGCTCCCCCCCCAGTCCCCCAATGTGGACAAGGGGGGACAAAGGGGGTCCCCACTGTGGACAGGGTGAACTTGATGCACCCCCCTCGCCTCCTCAGTCCCCCCTGTGGACGACGGGCTCCCCCTCCCCTTCCCAGTCCGCCCTGTGGACACGGGGGGCAAGTGGGGCGGTACCCCCTGTGGGGTGGGGGTCCTCGGGGAATGGCCACGGTCCAGATTACCACCACCCCCTGTGGGCAGTGGGGACACGGGGTGGTCCCCCTGTGGGCACGGGGAACACAAGGCCGCCCCCCTCCTCCCTGGCCCTTTGTGGACAGGGGGAACAGGGGGGTGGGGGTACCCCTGTCCACAAGGGGAACTCAAGGCCCCTCCCCCCCCCTCTCCTCCCCTCCAGGGACACAGACAGGGGGGCGGCTCCCGGTGCCCACACGGGGAACTCAAGGCCCCTCCTCCTCCCCTCCGCTCCCCCCGAATCCCCTCTGTGCACAAGGGGACAAAGAGGTGGTCCCCCCGTGAACAGGCAGAACTCAAGAACCCTCCCCCCGCCTCCCCCTGTGGACAAGGAGGCCCCCCCCCGAGACGGTCGATGGCCGCGAGACATTCGCAGTCAGGCACGCCATCGAGCCGCATCGCCGATGCGTCGGCAGGGCGGCGCGATCCTCCGACCTCATCTGCTCGGACCCTACTCCCAGACATCCGACTCGACTCGACTCGACTCGCCCCGTTCAGCCAAGAAGGCTGGCCCTGGTCAAGGGGGGAGCGGCATGCCACAGCGGTGCGGTGCCCCGCGCCGAGCGGCGGGTGAGACATGTAGCTCGCTCTCAGTGCTGGAGGATCTTGAAATCACTTTCCAAGGCAGACCACGATCAGACATCCGACGACACGACTAACTCTTTGCGCGGCCCCAAAGGTCCCGACGGCTTCCCTGGGGTAGTTCTTCGTCCCGACTGCATTGCTCCTTGTCCCTGGGCGCGCAAGACGCCCCCAGAGGCCAACCTCGGGGGCGAAAACGCAAAGCTTGACGACAACATGTCGTCGAAGATCTGGGCCTGGGGGGGCCCGGGGACGGCGCGGCAGCGATGCGCGGCCGCCCCGGCTGGGCCGGCCCGGCACGGGCGGGGCCGGGGCTCTCCAGCTGCCCCCAGCTGTAGAGCGCCAGGAGGCCCTGGGCCCGGTCGCTCGAGAACTCCTCCCACTTGTCCTCGCGCGCGCGCTCGCTGGGGGAGCGAAGGGAAGATCAGGCAACATCGGATCGACAGATCGGATCGAACCGAAATGTGCATCGGATCGGGCTCGGAATGTCGGAATGTCGGAATCGAATCGGATCGAGCCAGCCGGAATCGGTAACGAATCGGATCGATCGGATCGAAATTGACACTATAGCGGGGAGCGCCAAGGCAGAAGCGGTGAGCAGCTATGTCACCGAAGTTCGCGCATCGCGCCCCGGATGCGCGACGCGCAGTCATCTTCGCACCCTCTGGCCCTCGCGCCGCCCCACCTGCAGAACGGCAGCACTCCAGTCAAGACCGCGACGCGCGAAGCGCGATTATTTTTGCGCCCCTGCGGGCGACCTGGGAGCATGCCACCAATTCGGGATCGAATCGGCCACGAGGGGTATCCACATAGTGAGGGTCGCCGCTCACCACTTGTAGCCTAGTGCCCTCAAACGCCGACGTCGACATGGCGATGCTCAATGACGTTGCACCCGTGGTAGACGAGTGAGTGTGAACATCAAGCGTCTTAGGGTCGTCGCATGCGTGGATCATAGCTTTTAGGCCCATGACACGCACGGACCCCAAAAGGCTGCGATTATGGATCAGGGGGTTGCGGGAGGAGGACGCCACGACGACGGCGAGGGAGGAAGCTCTGGTCCTTCTGCTTCGGCAGGAACGAGCCCCCCTGCGGCATCAGGTAAGCCTGCCTGGCCAAGTAGATGGCCTGGTCGGGGAGAGCGCGGGCAAGAACCAGCGTGCTGCAGCAACGCACCCCGACGGAAGCTGACGCCGCAAGGACTTACGGCCTCCGCAGGCAGCAGTCCTGCAAAACCTCTGGCCGCCCCCACCCCCCCACCTGTGGCCACTGTGCCCCCCCTCCTTCGGCTCATTGCAAAGCAAAACCCCAGCCAAGCTGCATCAGCCTGTCTGCGCGATTCCTCGTCCTTCACCAACAGCGACTCCTTCACGGCGTCGCTGCTCATGCTGTTCAGAAATATGAGGGCCCTAGGCGCAGACAAGCATGGAACAACCAAAACGCTCTCAACTCTCATGCACGTCCCATGTTCTGCTGTTGCCCTCGCAGTCGGATCGGGTGTCCGCGGCGCATCGCTGATCGGCTTGCAGAACAGCCATACGCACAGACTGCTCAAGGACTGGAGGTACGGTACCGATGCGGAGATGAAGGTGCGTCCACGCTGCACTCTTCGCACGTTCCGTGGATCGCGAACTGGGATCGCTCCCAGTTCCGCTACCAACTAGAATTGCAAGGGTTGGGAACTGCACAAGAGAAAACATGGCGGCAATCAGATGTATATTACGGGGCTCTTACTCATCAGACAGTAAGAAGATATGCGTCGACGCTCGGGCCAAACAGCGGCGACCTCTCCTATTTGAGTGGGGGGGGAGGAAGAAGGAGTGAGTGAGGAACGCGGGGCGCTCCTTCTCAAAACGAAGACCCAACACCACAGGATGATTGGGAATTTTGCCGGGAAAAAAAAATACAAACTGCACTCCGCAGCAAAATCTGGACCATACGCGGGCACACCGCGATCACGTTGCAGTAGTCTTTGGCACGGACGGGGGGGGGTGCTGGTACGTTGCCTGCGTTGCGCAGGCCCACCAGACATCAGGGTAGGCGTTGTTCATTATCCTGTGTTTCGACATTTGGCCGAAGGGTGGGGGACGGGGGGTCTGAATCAAGCCACCCAAAGCAACCAACATCTGGTCAAAAAGGGGGGGGGGGCGGGGGCCCGCGCCGATCGGCGAAACAAAAAAATACAAACGGCGACGTGATGGCCATTCTGCTGCGATTGTTTACTGATTTTCGACAAGGACGGTAGAGGCTGGCATGTTGCCCGATGTGCGCGGGCGCAGGGTCTGCGCGTGCCTTGAACGTGGCGCACTTGACGCGGCTGGAGCAGGCGGCAGTGTTCGTGGCGCGCCTGGCACGCGTGGCGCACCTCGCCCCAACGTCGCGCACCTGGGGTCCGTTTTGGTTTCCAGGAGCTGCCCATTCACAGACGATTGCTGAGTATGCTGGGACTCGGGTGCTACTTCTGTGTTAGGAGGGCGACACCGACACTGAGCCAAACACTTTGTGTTTGAGAAAGGTGTCTTAACCATTGTTTCCATTGATAAACGCACTCTCCCCCAAGCGACCGGCAGCCAACCAGGACCCATGCCGACCCCGCCCCATGACGACCCCCAAGAAGCAGCAAGAGGTTCCCCCGAGGCACCCAAGACGCTCCAAGAGGCCCCCAAAACCGCCAACAGGCATCGTCATCGCTACCAATATTTGCATCATCGAAATCAGCACCAGCGTATCTACATCATCACCATCATCATCACGACCATCATCATCATTGATAACACCATCCTCATCATCCTCACCATCATCGCACTCAGCATCCTCGTCGACATCGCCATCATCACATTCATCACCATCATTATCATACTCATCATCATTATCATCACGGTCATCATCAACATCAACATCGCCAATGTCGTCATCATCACCACCATCATCACTATCATCATCATCATCATCATGATCATCATCATCATCATCATCAGCATCAGCATCAGCATCATCATCATCAGCATCATCATTCGCATCACCATCATCATCAGCAGCGCAGTCGCCATCACCATCACCATCTGCATCCAGTGAATCCTAACCACCATCACCATCACCATATTCATCATCATCACCATGAGAATCAACATCACCATTAACATCGTTGAATCATCATCACCACCACCACGACCACCACTACCACCGCCACCCTCGTCACCATCAACATCATCATCACCATGCTCATGTTATATTCACCTTCATTTTCATTATCGCGGTCAGTTTCATCATCCGCTTCTGCTTGAGCGTCCTCACCACTATTAACAGCATCGCGATCACACTAACATCCATACTCATCATGGCCTTCGCCATTGTCATCATCAGCATCACGGGTGGGCTGGGCCCCGACGGGCGGGTCGGGTCGCCCAGGCGAAACACTAAAGTGTGGAATGTAACGTGATGCATCGTTCGGTTTGCACGCGGGAGACCCAACGAGCGGGCATTTTGGAGCGGGCTGGGCCCTGACGGGCGGGTCGGCTCGTGCAGACGGGACATGAAACGATGGGAAAACAATATACTGCACCGCCCGACTGGCACACGAGAAACCCAAAGCCCGGCACTTTTCGAGCGGGCCGTGCCCTCACGGGCGGGTCGGGTCGAGCGGGCGGGACATGAAAATATGGAGCACAATGTTCTGCATCGTCCTGCGGGGCCTGGTCGAGCGGGCAAGGCCCTCTCAGGCGGGTGGGGCGCGACATGAAAATTGGAAATAAAATCCGCTGCATCTTCGACGGCCGTGCCTTGTCGACCGGGCCGACCCCTCGCGGGCGGGCCCGGTCGGACGGGCCGGACATTGAAATATGGATATGCTGCATCGTCTGGCTGGCACGCGAGAAACGCAACGAGCGGGACTTTTCGAGCGGGCTGGGCCCTCACGTGCGGGTCGGGTCGGGCGGGCAGGACATGAAAATATGGAGTACGGTATGCTGCATCGTCGGGCTGGCACGCGAGAGTCCCAACGGCCTGGCCTTGTCGAGCGGTCATGGCCCTCACATGCGGGTCCGGTCGGGCGGGCGGGACAGTAAGGTTTGAAATGAAGTATGCTGCACGCTGCACCGTCTGGTTGGCACGCGCGAGCCCCAACGGCCAGGCCTTTTCGATCGGGCTGGGCCCTCACGGGCGGGTCGGGTCGTGCGGGCGGGACATTAAAACTTGGAGTACTGTATGCTGCATCGTCCAACTGGTACGCGAGAACTCCAGCACGAGAGATCCGACGACGACGACGACGACGACGCTGACGTACGACGACGTTGTCGTCCTTGTCGTCTCGGGTGTTGCTAGAAGTGCCCCTGGCCCAAGGTGCCCCCAGCTTTGCGCTCAATCTTGGAGCCCCTGGGGCCCTCTGTGCCTCGTGAGGGGTGCTCTGGAGGCCGCTTGGGCCACCCGGAGAATCCTGGGGGTACGTTGGGCCAGGGGCACTTCTAGCAACAACCGATCGTCGTCGTCGTCGCCGTCGCCGGAACCGTCGTCGTCATCATCGCCGTCGGCGTCGGCATCGTCGTCGTTGTCGTCGCTGCCCGACGTCGCCGGCGCCTCCGCTGGCGCTCGCCGTCGTCAATTGCAAGGGGGGGCCTCCCCTGGCAATTCGGGGCGCCCCCCCCCCCGGTTCGAAGCCCTTTCCCCTCTGAGAGGCGGGGAGGGCCGCCCTGGTTTGACTCCACCCACTCTACACTTGAGGGGGATCTCTGATTCGAACCCTCCCCCCCCTGCACTTCAGAACCAGCCCCCACGGGTTCAAACACCCCGACCCTCTTGCAATTCAGGGACGGGTGGGCCCCCCCTCCCCCGGTTCGAACACCCCCAGCGTTCACATAGCGCGGTCTTTCTCATCGCAAGACAACGTCAACAAGGACTTAAAACAGACTGCACAAAGAATGAGAGATGGTACCCAGGAAAGTAAGCGCAATACGCCTCTGACCAAGCATCTGCAACACAGGCATGCCACCCCACTGCTCGTCGTCCTGTTGGGAGGAAGGGCTCGCAGCTCAACGCTGACAATACAGGAAACTACAATAAAACATTGTTCATACAACCTGAGCACAAAGATGATCATGTACGGCACCTTTACCGCGTCAGCTAAGGGGCACTTGTGTACCGAGGGGCAGGTAGCATGACAAACACGCCAAGGCACAACATGAAACGAATGTTCACTCTGATAAATGTGAGTCAATCGCAACATGCTAGACCAGTGTTCGAGATTACCGGCCAGAAACCTGATGCAAAAAACATCAAAACGCATGCACCAAAAGACGCACCACATCCCGCTAACGATCCCAACTGATACTGATGAACACACCGTTCCCCCAGCATGCCGCATACATGGAAGACACTGTAATGACACGGCTGTCGGCGTGAGCATGCATGCGCACTGCCAATTGGAATGACCACACTTATCGTCCGTACTCCGTCCGATGTATGATTGGAGATTCTGAAACGGAGTGGGTTCATAATGCCATAGCCCCCAAATTGAGGATGAGAGTGAGGGGGCGGTGGAGTCGTCGGCAGTCTGCGAAATTCTGAAGAAGCTCGCCGCAGGCACCGAAATATTTACAACTTATCCCAGAGGGCCCCAAGACGGCCCAGGAGGCCCTCAAGGCGGCCTGTAAACGGCCTCGAGAGACACCGATGAGAGCAAACTCGGGACCCTGCATTAGTACGGCGATGGTCAGAAAATCAGTACTACGTGTGTATATACATATATATATACTACAACTGCGCACGCTTCGCGAACGCTTGGGTTCTAGAGCATGCCATGGCGTTGTTAGCTCTGCGTGCCTTTCGGACCGGCATGTTCCATGCCTTGCCGTATCTCGTCCTCAGATATTCCGTATACATCCTTCCTCGTTAACCCTCCAGTCTATCTCGGTTGTCCTCGCTTTTCGTTTCGCGTTCTTATGGAAAGCCTCCTTTTGCTTGGGTTTGTGCAGGGCCTTCGAGCTGTTCAGGGCTGACGTGAGGAGAAATAGAATACGAACTGGGCTGGCTAGGAGTGTAGTGGCCTCTTGGGGATCTTCCTCTTTGAAAGCCTTGGGGCCCTCTTGGGCTCTTCTTCGAAGTTGTGGGGCCGTCGCGAGCCTCGGGGCTATGTGAAGCTCTCCCGAAGCCATCGGAAAGAGAAGATCGTGAGATTTACTGAATATGGAGAAGCCTGAATGGTCTTCGCGTTTGTGGCTCTCTGGGCTCATGTTTGGGGGCCTTTTGGTAGCTCCACTGGGGCATCATGTGGCCCATGGGGGCCGCCTTGAAACATCTTGGAGCGTCTTGGGCAACCAAGGAGCCATCTTGGCGGCAAGCGGACGTCCTTCTAAACCAGCTGGAACCCCCCTTCAGGCTGAAAGAGTCACCCAAAAGCCCCAAGGCGGATCCCGAATCCAGGGGGGGCCAGTTGGGTTGCGACGGGGGGAGTTTGGGAAAAGTGGGCTACCACAGGGCCAGAAACTTGGTCGTCGGTGCACAGAGCAAGGTGGAGTTATCGTACACTGGTTGGTGCATGAATGGGCGAACTGAACACGTGGCGGGCGATTACGCCGCACTCGCAAACACATACACTCCTCTTGGGGGCCTCTGGGGCCATCTTGGAGCATCGGAGGCCCATAACGCGAGAACGCGAAACATATAAACAACACAAGGGGAATCACTGATTTTTGCCCCTTTAGGCCCTCTGGGGGATCCTCTTGGAGCGCTGTTGGGACTTTTTTGGGGCCTCTTGGGCCGTCTTGGGGCCATCTTGGGGCGATCGTTGGCCGTCTTGGGGCCCTCTTGGACAATCTTGGGGGCCTCCCGGGGACCTCTGGGCGCCGTCTTGGAGGCCTCTTGGGCTGTCTTGAGGCACCTTGGAGGCCCCGTGGAGGGGGTAGCCAAAAGCTTGCCCGGATGGTTGCGGAGTGGGCGCTACCGGGCCGGGGGTGGGATCAATTGACACTTGACCATACAATACATACAATACTATACGTACAAAGCAAGCCCTGCGATGAGACGATCTAGCGAAACTTGGTGCGAGGCTTTTTGTGCGCATATAAGCACAAACAAAAATCAAAGCCGCCCTGGGGGGAGAGCAAAGCGAGACTCGAACTTGCGTGGACACTTCGTTGTCGGAATGTCCTCCTGCTCTTCCCACTCCATCCTCGATCTGCCTATATCTCCCCCCCTCTCCCGTCACTCCTCCTCCTCCTCCTCCTCCTCCTCCTCCTCCTCCTCCTCCTCCTCCTCCTCTTCCTCTCCTGCACTGGCGAATGGGAGCGTAAACTGACCGCGTGTTCAGAACGACTGCTCGGCACCTCGCAGGCACTCGCGACTCCCCCCCCCTTAAGCGAGCAGCGCGCGACACATTTCCGCATATCGCCCGGCTCCTCCCTCAACGCGCGAATGACGTCATGATGCGATTGGCCCAGGATGCGTTCCATGAAGTCCAGAGTATCTGGCGGCCCTCGTTTTTGTGGCTCGTGCGAAACAACTGGGAACCTCGGAAATGTTGGAGGGGTTGGGAAGCTCATTATCATGGCTTCTTGCCAACCTCCGATGCTTGGCGGTCAACCCGGTCAGGAGAGGCAACGGCGTGCAGATCCTTGGGCATCCGAATGCCCCCGACTGGCAACAACATGCTGTCCTTTTCCGTCAGCGTGGCCGCCGGCCTCTTGGGCACCTGCGCCAACGCTGCTCGAGCTCTCTGCCGGGCCCCGAGGGCCAGGGGCAGCGGCAGAGGGTGGATAAGCACCGATACCGCTGCTCGTCCGGATGTTCCCTCGTCGCCACCGGCTGGAGAAAGGTTGAAGTATCAAATAGTCGAGTGAATGTCGCAATGAAGTGTCGAAGAACGACGAAACGCGTATGGTGCTCTTCCATTGGTTGTGGATGAGCCAATGGTGCCCATCCAAGAGGCCGATTGGTGCCTCACCGTATGTTGCTCCCATCCTACTCAAAGACCACGTCCCAGAAATAATTTCGAGCACCGGGAAAAGTGTCAAAAGAGTGTCGAAACAGTGTCGAAACAGTGTCGAGCGAGTGTTTCCCAGGGCCCGACACGTGAAAACCCTTGAGTTTCGGCACTTTTTTTGGCGCTCGAAATTCTTTCTGGTGATCAAGGCTAAAGTTGTTGGAGCATCATGAGCCTCATCCCAAGAAGAATCCCGAGATGGCCAGGACTTGGGTACGGGGAGCCATATGGTGGCCCCCCCTGTGTCCACCCCGTCCCGCTCACAGGGTCTTCACATTCCCCGCATGGTGGTGGGATGGGTGAGCGGTCAACCTCCCCCCAGGCCGCACGTACTGTCCAGGGTTCGCGGGGATTTGAATTGAAGTCTGCGGGTGAACCCCGTTCCCTCCCACGCCCTTCCCGAGGGCGCGAATGCCCTTCGAAGGCCACCCGAGAAAGACCCACCACCCAGGAAACGACAAGGATTGTCTGCAATGTCAAGGGGGTCACCTGTGACAACTTTGCCCTGGCGGTCGGCTGCAACACCACGGGCCGGTACAACCATTTACGTCGAGCCTGCACTCCTGGGATATCTTCGCCACTGCGTAAGAGAACACGTAAAAAGTCGCCACTGCTTGAGTGAACACTCCAGAATCTGCGTGGAATTCACACCGATGCTGCTGAGGCTTACACTGCTTAAAATAGGACTCCAGGATCTGCATGGAACTCACACTGATGCTGCTGAGGCTTATCTCGAACTGCTGGAGCCGCCGCCGCCGGACAATCACGAGCAAAATGACCCTGGATGCCGCATTGCGGGCACAACGGGCCTTCTGGAGCCCTATGGTGACTCCTGGAGCGGCCGCTGGCCCTGAGATGGGCAGGGGTCCGCTCCATGTCCCGAGCCCTATGGTGGCTCGTTCCCGTGTCCCGCGTCCGTGCCCTGTGGCGGCCACGGCTTCTACTACGACGCTCCCGTGGACCCTCGTGACGATCATCAGCGCGTGTACCTCCCCTAGGACGATGCTGCTCCAAGCCGCCGTTTGTCATGGCAAGTAGGGTAACCGAACCGATTGTGCCCGCCAGGACCTACAGAGCTGTCGCAATTACCTGAAGGAGCCTGAAAGGGTAGCAGAAAGTACAGATAACGACAAAACCCCCTCCCGCCCTCCCCCTCCAAAATTTGATGAATTCTCTGACAGCTATGCGGGGGTACTGGACGGCCGGTAGGGGAATCATGTCGCGTTCACGGCTAAATCTGGAGAGAGGTTGAAGTATCAAGTGAAAAAGTCAAATGAATGTCGCAATGAAGTATCAAAGAACGGCGGAAGGCGCATGATGCTCTTCCGTTGGTTGTGGATGGGCCAACGGTGTCCATCCAAAAAGCAGATTGGTGCCTCATCCCAACAAGAGGCCCGTGATGGCCAAGACTCGGGTGCGGGGAAACATATGGTGGCCGCCCCCCTGCGCTCACCCCGTCCCGCTCGAAATCTTGTCCAGAACGCACCCTGGTAGAACCGGCGGTTCAAAGATGGGCCCTCCGTCAACTGGCGGTTGAAAGATGGACCCTGAGAGATGGGGCCCTGAGGACCAGCACCTCAGGCACCGAACGCTCGACCTGCGATCCACTTCCTATCCTTTGGGCCCCATCCCCCAAGGTGCCATCTACGAACCACCGAGAGAAGAGGCGGGGGGGGGCCCCAGACTCTGTGGGGTTCTCGACTGGACAACGAAATTGATTGAAACAATCTCGGGGATATACGAGGGTGGGTGGGTGTGAGAGCATTCTCGATAGGGGTGCGTCCGAATAGCCCCCCAGGGTTGAAGCCCCGAGTTTCCCCTCTTCTCTGAGCAGCCTGTTTTCCCCAAGATCCAAAATGGGGTTATTGTTTTCTCTCGACATCCCACGCAGGAGCAAGAACACGCCCTCTCTTCTCACTCACACACTCACTCATTCACATCATAATCATCATGATCATCATCATCATCGTCATCATCATCAGCATCATCACCATCAGCATCATCATCAGCAGCATCAGCATCAGCATCATCAGCATCACCATCATCACCATCATCCTCGTCATCATAGTCATCATGGTTATCATCATCAGCAGCATCATCGTCATCATCATGACCACCACCACATCATCATCACTTACACATTCACTCACACTCCCTCAATCACCCTCATTCACTCATATTTTACCCTCTGACTGTGGTAGACGACGACGACGACGAGACAGCGGCTGGGCGCAAGGGTAGCCTCTTGTGTCCCAGCTGGGAGTGGTAACCCATCCTCGGCCAAATCGGGGGCAAGGGTAACCCCTTGTTCCTGGGCCGCTGGTGGTAACCCATCGGCGACCGAATCGGGCGCAGGGGTAGCCCCTTGCGTCTGGGCTGGGGGTGGTAGCCCATCCTCGGCCGAATCGGAGGAGGGGAAGGAGGAAAAAGAAGGAGGAAGAAGAGAATAAGAAATGCAACGAGTAGGACGAGGAGGAACAGGCGAGAAAGGATGAGGAGAAGGAGGAGAAGGAGAAGGAGGACAACGCAGAGGGCGGAAGGCCTTCGCCAATCGAAGGAAAAAAGGGTGAGGGGCAAGCAAAATAGATTATCTTCCGGGGTCCTACCGTCAGAGTAATTATTTTTGAACCCATACATTGAGGACAGGAAACCCTCCGACCCTGTCATTCGTAGTCGTCGTCGTCGTCGTGGTAGTCGTCGTCGCCGTCGCCGTTCCCTTCGCTTCCTTGAGCTTTCCAAGCGCGTCAGCCCACGCTGAATCCTCGCTGGCGCCGTTCGCCCTGTTGCCCTGGACTTCATCTTGACGCGCGCCAGCTACAACGAAATTGAGAAACATTGTAATTCAATCGAAGGGAAGCCGCTTTCCCATTCCCTTTGATCCCTTCCCCGCAAGGGGAAGGGGGTCCCGAGTGAGACCTGGGGGGTGGTCCCGGGGGTGGTCCTGGGCTACGTCCCAAGTCAGAATGCCATCCTCCCGGGCGCATCCCGGGCCCTCTTACCCTGGTTGACGCACGCTAGCTACAGCGAGATAGCGCAAAGTTGTCATTAAATCGAGAGGAAGCCCCAAGAGACCCAGGGGGTGGACCCTGGGCAGGTCCTGGGTCAGAATGCCATCCTCCTCTTCCTTCACATCCTCCCCCTTCTCGGCGTCCTCCTCCTCCTCCTCCTCATCATGTAGCTCCTCCTGCCCCAAATCCTCCTGATCCTTCAACTCCTCCTACCTCCTCCTGCTGCCCTTCTCCTCCCCCCTCCTCCTCCTTCTCCTCGTCCTCGTCGTTGACGTCGTCCTCTTCAGGGTCGGCGGCACCGGCCGTAAGGCCTTCACAATACCCTACGACACGAGAATCGGGGAATCGGATCGAGTCGGGGTATCGTATCGAACCGGAACGCGCGTCGGATCGGTCCGAACCTGCACGGGGCCGATACCGAATCGGGTCGGCTGGGTAAAGATGGGCAACAACGCCATGCAAGCAGCGGTCCGCTGCGGATCGTCGGAATGTCAGGGTCGAAGCGGGTCGAGTCGGCCGGGATCGATTCGGCAGCGAGCCCAGGGGAAAAGTGAGAAGGAGAAAGCCTTCTCAGAAGGCTCGGAGGTCCGCAAGCCTTCTGAGAAATATTGTAAGCCTTCCCCGAATACACAGAAAACTTCGCAGAGTGCTGGAGCGCTTCTGAGAAGCCCCGCCACCTTCTGAGAAGGGCTTCTCCTTCTCACTTCCACCCTCGCTTGCCGCCGATCCTCTGTCCACCTCGATCTCGGTGATGTGGTACTGGCTTTCCCAGACGGCCTTGCTGGCTCTGTAGAAGATCCTGGTGAACAAACTCATCGCCTCAGTGCAGCTCCCAAGCACACGGTGGAACGTATAACTCTAGAAACCTCCGCAGGGAACTCGGACCCTGGAACCCAGGGGCTCCCACATGTTGAGGGTATGGAGCGTTGCCATTCCCATCGAAAGCCCTTGCAACCAAATAAAAGCCTGGGTACTCGGCAAAGTGACAGCGGCTTCTGGATACGAGCCCCCCCTGTGTGAGCATGACAAGATCCAGGAGGAGAGCGGTGAGGCGGGACAGAGGGTAGCCCGAAGGGATCCTCCGATGAGGAGAGGAGCACCCGCCGACTAGCACGACAGACATGGTGAACCACTTGGGCCCGTGCACGAGGACAACGAGCCGTGATGGACCAGAATCCTATCGTGCAGCCCGCGCATTGACATGATCTGGGGCGTGCGACGTGCAGCTTCGCTGAATGTGTCAAAATTATGTGCACGTCAACTTGCCCCTAACGAACGCAACAGAAGCAAAAACAACGCGCGAGGCGGGAAGGTCACTGAACGGAAGCGGCAGAATCGACGCGAAACTGCACAACACATCATACCAACACTGGGCGCTGGACCATCCAGCCAACGATAACTCAGGGATCTACAGTTTAGCGAGCCAATGACTTGAACAAGTGGTATATCAACTGCATGGGTGGCATCACACATGCGATACAACCTGAGAGGGCAGCTCACGGGGCACTGTCAAGCTGAGGACAGCACAGTAATGGCATCAGGAACGCCATCTCCGTCAGCATCAACTGTGTCAATGAATGACTGGAAATCCTGCTGAATCGACACAGTATCGCGCATAGCTGGTAGGAGGTAAGCATGGAGTAGCTTAGACAAGAAGCATGCCAAGATCAACGAATAGCGCAAACATGCACAGATTGTGAACTTGAAGATTTGAACGCGAAGCGCTTCTTCTAAAACGAAACTGAGTCACCAAACTTCGCACATCGCGCACTACGACATGCGAAGTGTGGTTATCTTCGCGACCTCGAGAATACCCCCTGGAATATTGCCTCTTTCCGATCCAGGCCGCGACACGCAAAGCACGATTATCATTATCTTTGCGACCATGGGGATGATTCCGTGGAGCTGCACCAGCTAGTCCTGAAGCCCCGTGTCCGAAACTGCCATGAGGGACCCCGAATCCATGGACGGCGTGTTCACGAAGGTTCTCCCAGCCAGCCGCACCGCTCTGCTCAGGAGCGGAAAGATCCCTGCGCGCCATCCGACGGGGCAAAGGATTGCGGAGAAGTTCGGATGAGCTGTTCCAACACATGTTCGTCTCCCGAGCAAGTCCTCGTCCTCCACCCTCCTCCATCCTCCCGACCCCCAGGGCAGGACAGCCAGGGCTCCCAACTTCGCGCTTCGCGCTCCGCGAATAACTTCGCGCTCTCGCGTCGCCTCCCCAAAGGGAGAAAAGGAGGATGAAGAGGAGGGGGAGAAGGAACGAGGACTGCGAAGCGCGAAGCGCGAATAACTTCGTGCCCTCGTGGGAGCCCTTGGGACAGACACGCGCTCCTGTGAGGCTGTGACGGCCGTACCCTGGGGAGGGGGAGGGGGGCGCACAGTTCAGGGCTGCGGCAGCAGCCCGGAGCGCCGCTGCCCGAGGACACAGGGGGCGACTTAGTGAGGAGGCAACCACTGGGAGGTCTTCGTCGGAAGCATCAGCGAGAATGAAGCCCCATTGGGGGGCTGCAGCGACGGATTGGGCCGTGAATTATAACTGGGATCAAGCTGGATTACGCGGGAGGTTCCCGGATTCAGCCGGATTGTGGACTGGGGCAAAGTCAGAATTTGACCTGCCGGGAGTTGCATCCGAAACTTGGGAGAGCACCAGCTACTCGACTTGGCTGTGTGCCGAGGAGGGCAGGGTGGGTTCGCGCGTGACGGCATGTGCGTTGGTCTCTGGCGACACGTGGATCGCTCAACCTTGAGCGATCACGGCTGTCCTGTGGCGAAGATCGTTTGATATACGCCTATTTTGGGCCAACGACAGTGTTCAACCTTGAATGCCCACGCCGATGAATGAACGCGGCGCGGATCTGCCGTATGGCGAGGGATATTGATCTTCTGAGAAGGCAGATTGCTTCATAGAACAGCCCGGAGGCTCCTAAGAGGGCTTCTGAGAAGGCGGGAGGCTTCTAAGGAGCATGCTGCCTTTCAGAAGGCTTAGCCACCCTTGGGATTTTTCTGCCCGACGCATGGATGCAGGAGAGTGATAGCTACACCATGCGAAATGCTTAAGAAATCATGGGTTAAGAAATTCATAGTCTCAGAGATGGAATAAAACCCAGAACTTCTATCAAAATCTTGGGACTTACATTGAAAAGTTAAGAATAATCGAGACTCTGGACGAACCCTTCGGTTTTCTTAAGCATCGCCTAGGGTGTACTCTCAATCCCAAGATTTGACCAATCTCATCTGAAACTCATTACTTGTGCACACGCCCTGCTGGAACCGCGCACACAGTGGGCCCGTGGCACGAACATACATATTGCTACACCCTGCGATATGCTTAAGAAATCATGGGTTCAGAAATTCATAGTCTCAGAACTTGAATGAAAACCCAACATGTCTATCAAAATCTTCAGATTTACACTGAAACATTACGAATAATCGAGACTCTGGCCGAAAACTTAAGTTTTCTTAAGCATCGCCTAAGGTGTATAAGAAATTCAGGGGAACCTCGTTCGACGAACTTGAGCTTCGCAGAGAGTCCGAGTGGGCCGCTGGCCCGTCGGTGGATAACAAGTTTTCGGGGGGGCACCAGCTGGCAAGCAAGCCTTGTCATGTGGTGTGCCTACTGTGTACCATTCTGGAGTCCCGAAACGGTGCGGTGACAGACCGTGCGGTGACCTCGAAATCCCGCAAGACCTCACCGCACGGTCCGTCACCGCACGGTCTTGGGACCCCGGAGGCCCCAATCGCCCTAGACGTCCTCGGAGAACGACCCGAATCCCCACCGACTTACCGCACGGTGTGGTCACCGCCCCGTTTAGGGGCCCCCGAACCATTCCTGGGGCGCCCTGGGTGGGCCTGCCCAAGTTCGATGCTGGGGCACGCACGGCGCACCTCAACACACACGATGGCTCGTCGAAGTACGAAGTGTCCGCTGGCAAATGCAATCCGTCTGGGGATGTCGAATGTGAAGAGACACGGAGTTGGTCTCTCTGCCCCTCTCCTCAGGGGTGAAGTCGACGAATAGTATCTCCCCGGTCTGGTTGCCGTCGCTCAACTGCTCATACAACAAAAGATTATCGCCCAAATTGACACCGTCCCTCTCTAAAGTGAACGCCTGTTGGCCGCCGTTTTGATACAGAAAAACACAACGCAACTAAGGCAACAATAAGGCAACAATGTGACGCCATGGACCGTGCGACGGCTGCAAGACTGCGATGGCGTTGGAATCAAGCACCATGAACGCGGTAGTTGTTTGCAACGTCCACGCCTCTATTGCCTTCGGACTGCGCATGTGTTACCCTGCCTGCAACTCACGCGATGCATGTACTCTGATTCCAAGTTTCCCCTGTCACGTTGCAAATCCGATCGCGTGGGTGGTTGCGTCATAACGCAACCATTGAAGTTCATGCTTGTCAGTACAAGAGCCGCTTGGGCGGCGACGAGCTCGGACCAGAACCACGTGCAACATAATCAAAGCCAGTATTGAAATATGCCACGGCACGCTAATGTGGACCGAGGAGCACATGGGCAAATACAACCCAGCTTACGGTCGCTTGGACAATGGGTGGAATGTCCTCTTCGAGTCGACCATCTGGGTGAACGCTTGCTGTGATATCTAGCACACGAACTCAAGCTCCGTTGAAGGGCGAGAAACTTCTCCTAACAGGGTGCAGACATGTACGGCCAACGGCGGACGACAAATCCATGGGGCCGAACTTCTCTTGCTCGACAAATGTCGAAGGCTCCATTACAACGCATGTTACACTAATGACTGGTCAGCGAAATCCCTCTTCGCTTCCGCCCTTCTCGCAAGACATCAGTTGCCGAGAAAGATTCTGACAAACTCTGTGCGAGAAGGCCGGTGGCGACTGGGAGATGCCCTGTCGGGTTCCCAAGGGATCCTCGGCCCAATTGGCGGTGCGCCCGGGCGGGATGACAGCGAGGGCGGCCCCCCTCAGGAGGCTCAGAAGGCCTCCAGCCTTCAGGGGAGCTTGCCGAGCCTTCTCCGAAGAACCACCGCCTTCTACCAAGGCCTGCCCCACCCTCACCTTCCCCCCCTGGACCCGCCGCCGAAAGGAACGCCGCACAAGCAACGGAGGGCTTCTCTGGCGACGGCGAGGCTCGGCCACGACCATGCTCCCCGATCTAGATCTGAAGAGGGGCCCGAGCTCCGGGGCCCCTCCTGAGCGCCCAAAGTGGTCCTCGTTGGGGCATCTTGCCTATACACCATGATGATCGTTCTGGGTCCTCAGGGTGTCTTCGGCCGTCGCAGTGGCATTGCTATGGTTGCCCAAGTTATGCAACTCAGATCCTGCAATAGACCAACACTGCAAAACAACTCGGCGTATCGCACCTAATCTCCGTGAATGGTACTCCGTAGCGTGGCATGTTAGTATGATGATCTGCAATGGTTCGCTTGCATCTTTGCATTGCCTCTCTTTGCTTCGTTTCTTTGCATAGACTCGGAAATTGTTACATGGCATTGCAATGAACGGAATACTACTCCTGGTTAGGATCGCACCGGGTTCATTCGAATGCCCCTTCGCCAATGGTCGAGCTATCATTTCTCGAGTTCGAGGTATTCTGGCGGTGGCTTGGTGTATGTCTTGTCTCTTCACGCGCACGGCCAACTTGCCAGCGCATAGCCCCAACAGTCCATACTTGCCTCTCCGATAATCCCAGGCGCAAGAAATAATCAAAACAGTACTGCTCGGTGAAACGACGGGGGCTGATCTAACTGCCGAACTCAATCCACAACTTCGTTGGACTCTCGATGGGCCAAGCAACTCGGGGCCCATGTCGGGGAGACACGGGGGGGGGGGCGTATCCTTGATAGAGATGCGTCCGAACAGCCCCCCTGGGGGTGCATCACGGGGCTACCCCTTCTGTTCTGAACGCCACAGCTTTCTGCTGGATGGAGAACTCGGTGATGGGGGCGAGACACCGCCTGCGATGAAGCACTCAGAGCGACCGCACTGCAGAGAAGCGGCCGTGCCTCGAAATAGTTTGGCTTCACTGCAGGCTGCACGCCGCTTTTTGATGCTGGGGTGCACCGACCCTGCACGCAACCTTCTGGTGACGGAGCGTTCTTGAAGAGGTGACGAAATGCTCTTGGATCACTTCCGCTGAAGGGAGAGAGAGAGAGGTAGCGAGAGAAAAAGAGACTCTCTCTCTCTCTCTCCCTCTCTCTATATCCCTCTTTTTCTGCTTCTGGGGGGGGGGGCTCGGCGGGTCCTGGCGGGTCCTCGGTCATGGCGGGTCCTGAGGAGTCCGGGACAATCCTGGAGCATACATTTTCCTGGCCATCCCTTGGCTGGGTTCTTGTCTTGAATAGAGAAGAGGGATGCCGACTCCCTTCCTCCTTCACTTCCTTGTCTGCCTAAGCGTCTGGCCCTCGCACCCCCCAGGAGCCCAATAAGTACGTCCCCTTCCTTGCCCTGCCTCTAATTACGGTTCCCTCCCCCCTCTTCTCCTTTTCCCCCTTGGGGGCTCAGGGCCGTTTTGGGTTCGAGCTGGAGCCGGCCCAGGGGCCTGGGTGGTCATCCCGACCACCCTCAACGCGGCATGCCGCGGCGCGCGGCGGGAGCGGCCAGGTCTCGCGGGGCCGACCTGCCACTGCTGGCGGCCAGCCTGGCCCTGAGCCCTCGCGGCGCGGCAGGCTGGAACACGCGGCTCTTCGGCCTCTCGATGGCCGGCGCGAAGCCCGTGGCGGAGCCGCACCTCGACCCTTCCAAGGATGAGGCCAGCGCCATCCGCGCCATCATCTACCACGCCGACGAAGACGTGGAGGAGAGCGGGGCCGGAGGGAGGCAGAACTGCCGCCGCCGGCAGGACCCCCCCCCGCCGGGCGAGCGACCCACGCCGCCGGCAGGTCCATCCAGGTCCGCGCCAGGACCGGAGGACCCTTCGGTCAGAAATCCACCCTCACCTCCATCCGGCCCAGCCGGGGCCGACGTCGTTGACCAGTCCAGGGACCCCCCCCATCAGAGCGACCCTGGGCGGGAGGATGGTGAATCTGGGTCCTGAGCTTCAGACCTCACGGGAACCGATCCTGGGCCTGGAGTTTCGAAGGAATGAGGGGAGGGGCTTTCCAGGCACTGGGTTCTGTCAAGAGCGCCTTCCCCACCCTAGAGGCCAAAGGGTGGCTCCACTCCGACGAGGGTTGGGCTCTCTACGGCCTCGACCAGATGGGGTTGATGCTGTTGGGAGCTGGCTGGCCGGCGGTCGGTCTCACGATCATCTGCCTCGCCATCGTGGGCTTGCTCGCTCCGCTCGCCCACAGCCTCAGGACCATCTTCGCGCCTTGCGGGATGTGCCTAGACCTCATCAGCATGGTCTACGGGTGGTGCCGCTGCTGCAAAAGGAGGGTGCCAAGCGAGGCAGAAAAAGGCAACTTCTGCCGCCGGTCCCTCCGCCAACGTCCACAGTCTCCCGGGGAGGGCCCGCAATGGGCCCTCCCACGACGACCGAAGACTGTTCCAAGAAGATCAAGGGCCGGGGCACCGGCCAGAAATGCAGCGACATCCCCATCAAGTTGGACGGCCATGATGCAAGAGTCAGGCTCGACCAGCGCGAAGTTCGTCGGACCGATCGCGCTGGAGTGTGGGTCGACTGCGACGTCGTCAAGGGGGGCAGCTCCCGCAATCTGCGCCTGAAGCTGAAGCAGAACGAGCCGAGGCACCTGCACCTCTGCCAGAAGCACCTGTGCAAAACAAAGGACGGTGAGCTTCACTGCAAAGAGAAATCCGCAGTCGACGCCAAGACCATCGTGGACTTGGGCGCGCACGCCGGGTTCACGACCTGCCGCTGCCTGCAGATCGTCCTGTACATCCTCTGCTTCATGCTTTGCGGCCGCAGGTGCTGCCGCCAGCGACGTCGCCGCCGCTCTGCGGCACGCGATGTGGAGCCAGGCGAGGCGAACGCCAGCTCAGCGGTGGCGGGGCTGCTCGATCAAGAATCGAAAACCGAGGTCGAACAAGAGAACCGGCCCTGCGAGGCTGTCAAGGTGGGCGTCATGATCAAAGGGAGGATGAGGCCCCTGGCGGCCGACGGGTTCCGTGATGCATCGCGCCCGGAGGCGCCGCGCTCCTGCTGGAGGACGCCCAAGCCTCAGACCCGCCACCCCCGTCATGACCAAGTCTATCGGGCCACGCGCTACCAGGCTGAGCGCTCGCAGGTCACATGCTTCCGCCAAGCAGCGGGCACCGCCGCAGGCGTCCCACTCTGCCTGATCCACCTGGGAGGGGGTGCGAGCAAGGCTGCGACGGCCGCCCAGGCAACCCCGAGGACAGGTGCGTGGGCCGGGCTGCGCCGCCGAGTCGCACGCTCTTGCAGTTCAGGGCGGAGCAAGAACCTGGGCACAAACAACAGGGGGCAAGGATCTGGAGCCCTGGCAGCAGAGCCCGTTAGGCGTGCGTCACCAGCGTTGCCGACGGGACCGCCACTGGCGCGTTTCGCGCCCGCCAGCCTTTGAGAAATCTATTTCGGAAATAGAATCGCGGACTCTTTTCCACGGCGCAACAATATGACCCAAGCCGGCTACGGGACGAAATGACAATGCATGTCGAAACGACTGTGGCCAACATAGGCCCGCATACAACCATTAGGCCTCAGGAGCACAGAAATCACAGCCCCCAAGAAAGTCTTTGGCCTCAGCGTGCAAATATTCGTTATCCACGAAATCCAATAAAATATGAAGTAAGCGAATATGGAACATCATCACCTGCCAGCCTGGCCGAGAATCGTCGCCACGACCCGGACAGCAGCAGGGACAACGATATCTACTACGAGCTGGACGGAGACGCCATCTTCAGAGACGGCGACGCCATCATCAGAGACGACAACACGGTCATCAGAGACGGCAAAACCATCACTACAGACAAGAAGGCGACCAGGCAGCAACAGCCCAACGACGGACCCCTCTTCGTGGACAAGGAGGGCGTCGGAGCTCGTTCCTGATGCCCGCGTCGATAACTGCCAGGGGGGAGGCGACCGCGAGCGAAACTGCCAACCCCGCGATTGACATCAACGACCCACAGGGCACTGACAGACAGGTCCCTGAAACGAGACGCTGTATATGCACGCTGCCACCTGCGCCCTGCCTCCTCTTGCACACGTAAAGATACACGCTACCAGATACGCGTGTGTATATATATCTATATATATATATATACATACAAGACTGCAGTGGCGCTTCACGCCATGCACCTTGGTCCTTGAAGATTGGTATGCAGGCGGAAATGGCAGGAAGGTCAAGCGGACAATTTTGCGACAACTCCTTGCTGCCCTTTCTGGCATCGCCGTTATAATGATAATGTTGTTCGCTATCCCTCCTCCACGCATATGTTTCCTCATTCTCGCCATACCCTGGGTATTCTCCCCATCCTCCTCAGCTCTTTTTGCGGGGGCGCCTCCTTGGAGAGCCTCTGGGGGCCTCGCCAAAGTTCTCAGGCTTTCTTAAAGCCTTCTGGAGGCCTCCTGGGCGTGTTCTGGGGGCCTCTGGGGCTTCCTAAGGCCAACCTGCCTCTAACTGCAGTCTCCCTGAACGCCCCGGTCACGATTTGGAATGCTTCGGAGGGCGTCCTGGGGCCATCTTGGGCCGCCATGGGGTTCTCTTAAGGCCATTTTGGACCCCTGTTGTCCCGTTCTGGGGCTCTCTTGGACTGCCTGGAAGCCCTTTCGGATGATTGCGGGGCGATTTGTGAGCCTCCCAGGCGACTTCGGACGCCCAGAAGACCGCTGTCTTGGAGCGTCGGAAGCCGAAAAAAGGAGAACCCGAAATTCACCGAAAACCTACATTCAATCAATGATTATTCCCTCTTGGGGCCTCCTTGGGGGTGCTCCTGGAGGCCTCTTGGTACGTTTTGGAGCGATCTTTCGGGGTATGACGGCTTCTTGGAGCGCTATTGTGCTGTCTTGGAGTTCTCTGGGACGTCTCCGATGACCCGATGACCCCCCTGATCGCCCTAGGTGCGCTGCGAAGGCTTGGCAAAACGCCCTGCGAGGCCCGGGGGGCCGCTTCAAGGCCCGTCCGAAGGGTCCCCAAGCCCCAGTTTTTTGGGGGGGGATGGGTTTTCCCCCCGCCCGGGCTTGTAAAAATAAAGGAAGAGGAATTTGGCTACGTATATACATGCAAAACCATATGCATACAATATGCATAGACCGCCATCCCGATAGCAACGGGAAGGCCGGGCGATGCGCGGGTGCATCAGCGCAAGGGACATGGGGGGAGCAACGAGGGGGAGAGGGAGAGGAGCGACGGAGAGAAGGAGAGAGGCATATACATAACAACAGCGCAGACCAAGGCAGAAGCGGACAAGTAGGCGCGGGGACTGGCAGACTAGCAGCAAGTAGCAATCACACAGAGAATCGCTCGATCGAGGAGAAACAGGACATGAAACGTGAGAAATTGTGTTTGTTGTCATAACATAGATACCTTCAACTTATGGAGGCCCATTGCGCCGACAAGCCTGCCCAGGCCCATCGCTTGCAAGGATCGGTTTTTAGTGGTATCGAAGACGGGGCCCGATGAGGGGGCGATTCATGACGTGAGAATGGCGGCCTGCGCGCAGCCCGCGCCACTCTCCGGCGGCAAGGACGGCGCCAATGGACTCCATCACGTGAGGGATCACCTCCTGGGACCACAGCGGGCGCCTTCGGGTGCTCTCCAGAAGCCTGTGGTCATTCTCTCGGTCGTCAGGTCGACTGTGTTCACGTATAGGAAACACACTGCGAATTCATGCAAGTTCTCGGGAACCATTAGCAGAGAGCGAGCCGAAATGCACAATTGTCTGGTGTAGGCGCACGGACACAGGGAGGTCAATGTTGGGCAAAAACGCTGCGCCGCCCGAAACACCCTACAGACATTCCCGAGAAATCGGATAACGATTGAATGATGGTCCGGGGCGCTGTTGTTCCAGATGATCGGGTGTGTGTGCTGCCATTTTCATTATTGTGCCCACTGCAGATATGAACGCGATCGACATTTTTGCTGATGCGATACACCTACAACATGACACACACATATATATATATATATACATTTACATACATATACATGTGTAAACATGTGTAAACATGTATATATACATGTGGAATTGCACTATGTGGTAATTGACTGGTTGCGTTGTTATTGAGGCCGCTTTCTTGAAGGCCCCACAGGGGCCAAGCAACAAAACCAAACCAGATCACCTCGCAAACAAATGTATATAATCTCACCCAGGGCGCAGCTCGCAGAACAAAACACAATTTCGCGTTGTTGTTTAATTCCTAACGGTGCTGACGATTAGCAACAACAATTCGCACAACATAATCGCATTCTAAAAAAACGCACTCGTATAGAAACAACTTACATGTAATGAAAATCGAATCACCATCTCATGGCGCGTATATCTATATATGCGAAACCGACGAAAGCCGTATATGGATCGTGGCGGCAGCAGCGATTAGCTGAATAGTCTATCGATCTGCTCTTCGAACGAAAGACCGCCCTCCTGGATCTTCTCGGGGCAACGCCACGCCTGCTTGGGGGCCGCGCAGTGGCGGTAGGTCCAGGAGCTGAGCACAATGACGAATGCCTGCGGAACGGGTCTGGCAACATGGGGCCTCTCTCCAACTGCGCACACCCACAAGATCGGGCAGCATCGAGTCGGGAAGCCGGATCGAGGCGTACTATGAATCGGATCGGGCTGCTTCGCAGGCGCGCATCCTCCTGCCGTCCTGGCGAGATCGTTCTGTCCCCTGTCTAATTGTGAGCCTCGGGGGTATGTCGCCCCATCGACGACACGGGAGACATCGATGTTTGACGGGTGCGTCTGTGACAGAGGCTGGAGAGAGTAGCACTATGGGGAGATCCCGCCGAGAGACACAGGTGCAACCCTTCTTCCTCTTCCTCCTCCTTCCTCCTCTCCACTGCTTGCTCAGTCTCCTCTTTCCTCCTCATGCCCATTCCCCCTTATAACCACTCAACTCTAAAGCTATAAAGATAGAGGGGTGGGGAGAAGGACGCCGTGAATGAGGATCAGGCGGGGGAATATATCAGAGGGAAAAAAGGATGCGGATAAGTAAAGGAGAATGGATGAGGGGGATGACGAAGACGAGTGAAGAGGTCTTCGGGGTAGAATAAGCATGAGGCAGGAGTGACTTAGGGGTGGAAGAATGAGGAGGAAGAGTGAGGCGGATGAGGAGGAAATGGTTAAGTGGTGAAGGAAGGGAACAACGGATGACAAGGAGCAGGATGAAACTGTCTACAAGTATCTTCCCCACTCAATCTCACTCCATTCGGCCGGATATTCCGAGCCAAGTGCCAGCGGATGCTGTAACAAAGCGACGTGATGATACTCCCCGAGCAATGCTTGCAATTAGGGGTCCTTACTTCTTTTCTAGGAGCTGAGCCTGGCTAGCGGTCTGGCGGCGCCGTGCTCGCCGTCGCCGCCCCGTCGCCGCCCGTCGTCTCAACCTGGCAAGCGGTCTGGCGGCTCCGTGCTCGCCGGCGCCACCCCGTCGCCGCCCCGTCGCCGCATAGGTTTCACAACAGAGCTTGCACCGATTGCACCGTACAGGCTTCGCCACATAGATTGTGCAACGTATGTTGCACCACATAGATTACACCACGTCAATTGCACCGCCGAAAATGCTGGACCACACAGTTTGCACGACATATCTTGCGCAACATAGTTTGCACAATGTATAGTGCGCCACGTATATTGCACCACATGTATTGCATCACCTAGATTGCCCACACTACCCACACTATGTTAAGCCCACGCTGGCAACATACCTGTACATCTATATGTAAGTATGTGTATGTGTGTATGTGTGTGTTAATGTCTCCCGCAATGTGCCCAGACGAGATTGGCAGGAGGAAGGGAGGGAGGTCAGAGGAGCATAGTCCGGGGGCCCAAAACATCCGCGCATGGGGGGTACAAGAGACGTTAGGGGAGGGACGGAGGAACAAATGTTCAAGGTAGGTGTCGGGGGCTCTGATGGGAAGAATGCAAGGGAGGACGAATGATACGGTGCCTTCGTGGACAACTTCATGCTGACTCTCATGCATACGCACCAAACTCCTGCTGTTCTTAATCGCCAGAGCTGGCGAACGTGGTACTGGCGTCTGGGGATGTACTCGAAAAAGTCTGGGCCTTTTGTTGGCATTCCTGCGAGTATTCAACTACTCTGTCTTGAGCGCCAAGCTCTCGCGCTTCGCACTGGGAACATCACGACCCCTGCGTGCGCAATGTGGCAGCGGGCGGAACTGGGAGCAATGATCAGTAATGCCTCTCCTGATATCGCGCCACACATACACCCGATCGCATCGAAAAAACGCCGCTTTACCCCAAAACTGTCTACCTGCTGTGCCGTAGGCACTGAATGGAATGCTATCAGATCCCTTCGAGCTCCCTGTGCTGAGAATGTACAATACTCTTCGAGCGGCCCAGACGCCCGTGATCTAGGCGCTCGGGCGTCACCCCTCTCCCCCGTGTGTTTTTCCCAAATGTCTCGGGAGCGCGGTTTGGGATCCGCAGTCCAAACATGGCCTAAGACAGTCCAAAAGGCTCCCGGAGCCCTCTTCGGGGGCCTGCTTGGCCGTCAGGGAAGCCCTGGTGGCTGGCCACAGAGCCCAGAATCATTGAGCAATCATCAGTCTCGGGTCCGGTTTTAGGATACTCGCCATGACGCTCGGCGGCGAGCGAGGGGGCGAAGTGAGAAGGGGTGGGCCTTCTCAGAAGGCTCGGAAGCCCTCCGGCCTCCCGAGAAGTTCTGTGAGGCTCCCCCGAAGACGCAGAACACTTCTCAAAGGCCCGAGGGCTTCTGAGAAGCCCCGCCGCCTTCTGAGAAGGCCCGCCCCCCTCCTCCTCCTCCTCCTCCTCCCTCCTCCTCCTCCCCTCCTCCTCCTCCTCCTCCTCCTCCTCCTCCTCGTCCCCCCCTCGCTCGCCGCCGAGAGGCTCCCGTCACGCTCCTCAGGGAGGAGCACGACGTGGCGTCTCGAGTCCTCTCTCCCGCGATGGCCCCCACGCCCGCCGGCAGGCCTCCAAGAGGCCCACAGGCACCAAGAGGCCCCCCCCCAAAGGCCCCCACGAGACCTCCAAGATGCCCAGATGCCCCCAGGAGGCCCCCAAGAGGCCTCCTCCCAGGAGACCCTCAATGGGCTTCTAAGGGGCCTCTATCTCTTGCCCACGAAGCTCTAGGCACGGTGGTGACATGGGCCGAAGGCCACTAGATACTGAACTCGGGCTGGCGAGCGGAATGCTATACGCGGGATGGCGAACAAAATTGTGTTGAAACCAAGACTACCGACACAATCAACAAAATGAATACTAAATCATGCTCGCCGATCTTGGAAGCATCTCCTCACGTCTGGTGCACTGAAGAACCCGAGAGAAAATGCCTGGAGAAAAAACTCACTGCTACCACTACTCCAACGACCTCCCCTGAGGCGCACTCTGAACAGGATTCCGAAGCGAATCCAGCCGCGGTGACCAGGGCGCTCCATGACGCCGAAGAAAGCGAGTACAAGGACACGGGTATGGGGTGGTGACGGTATCGGTATCGTCCCCTCCTCGGACAACCATTAGAACTTGCATGCCGTACTCGACACACCGTTGTCCAAAACAAGCTGCTCCGTGCGGATGTTGCTAGAAGTGACCCTGACCGAAGGTATCCACAACTCGTCGCCCCAGTTTGGAGGCCCTGTGGCCCTCTTACCCTCGTGAGGGGTGCTCTGAAAGTCGTCTGGGCCTCCCCAGGAATCCCGCCGCCGCCGCCGTCGTCGTCCTCCTCGTCCTCGTCCTCGTCGTGGTCCTCGTCGTCGTCGCCGTCGTCGGACACCTTGGGCCAGGGACACCTTCGGCAACACCCGATCTGTGATGGGCAGCGGCGCCCGCCGCCTGGCAGACGTCGAGGGCCTGGCGCGTCCCTGGGCAGTTCCTCGAGTTGGTGTCGTCCTTGGCGCTTCTGGCCTCACGGGCGCAGTGGGCTAGGCGAGGAGGTGGAGGACCGATGGGTGAGCATGGTTCAACCGATCCCTATCGCCACTGGTGTGGCCGTGGCCCCACAGGCCGACTTACCCACACCTATATTAGGGTATATGCATGCTACTTCGGCTTTCGTGGGGCATATCCCCGCCCAGGAGGGTGACCTGGCGGGGCTGAGATGCCACGACCCAGTAGGCATGTGAGGACGACGGACGGGAATGGTTTAGACGATGCCAAATGGGGAAGATCGAGGCTCGAGGGTCGTGCTTGTCGGGCAAGGTGAGCAACACAGTGATTGCTCTGGCTGGGCTGATCTGCGGACGCCTTAATCTCCTACGTCTTCAGCAAGGAACTGGATCCGACCCTTTTAGGCTCTGGCCTGGCGCCCCCCCATGCCCCATCCCGTCAACGTTCCGCCCGGATCACACCCCGCCTCAGTCACCACCTCTGACATCCTGGCCCTGAGCATCTCGTTCTGCCCCACCTTCCATTTTCACAAGTCCGACCCCGCTTGGGTCACCGCTTGTGGCACCGTCGCCCCCTGGACTTCTGCTCCTCCCCCCCCCCTCGCCCACCGCCCCCCACTCCACCAAGTCTAAGCTTTTGACAATAACCCCCTGGCACCACCACCCCCTGGCTCTGCCTCAGCCTCGCCCCGCTCTAAACTCATGATCACCACCTGGCAGAGACCCCGTGCCCGCATCCACTTCCAGTCCCCCGCCCCACTATAGTCTCAACTTCCTGCCGCCTTCTCGCTGAATACTCCGTGTCTTCCGCCTCTGCGGATCCCCGCCCCTTCCATCCCCAACCTCTGCCCCACCCCATCCCAACTTCCTGGCCGCCACCTGGCTGACGGCCCCCGTCCCTGGACATCTGCGTCTGAAGGACTCCGTCCCTTGGTTTCCCGGTCCCGCCGCACCCGATTCTCACAGCCTGACCCACACACCCACCTCCTTGTCTTCTCTTTTGACGGCCCCACAACCCGCTTCATTGTCGACCTCTCTTCTCACCTTGACCTGGCTGACAGCCCCACCCCCTCCCTGGACCTTTCTACCAATCCCGCTTGATCTAGCTTACTCCCACTCAATCTGGCTTAATCCCGCGGTCGAATCCAGCGTAGCACCCCGATGGGGCTTCATGCTCCTTAATCATTCCGACGAAGACCTCCCAGCAATTGCCTCCTAACGTTGGCGTCCTTTTCTTCACCCCCTCTAGGTTCCTGGATGGTTGCCACCTGCCTGGGGCCCCCCAGCCCCCTCGATCCTCGAACCCTCCGATCCTCGAGCCTCTCCTGCCGCTCCTTGAACCTCGATACCTCGAATCTGGACCCATCGCACCTCGAGAGCCTCGCTCGTCGAAGCTCGAGCCTCGATCCTGCGTCCTTGACCCGCGAACCCCGAACCCTGCATCCATCGATCCCCGAAACTCCCCGAACTCGGCGGCGCGGCCAGGGTGGGAAATGAGAAGAAGACCTTAGCCCCTCGACCTGCTGACAGTTCTCTAAGCACTCCCCGACAACACCGAACACTTCCCAGAAGGCGCGAATACTTCTGAGAAGACATTCTCCTTCTCAATCCCAGAAGGAGGGAAACACAAATGCCGAAACGTACTGCTACTCTCCGGGCCTCTCCCGGGGCGATCTCTGACCGAAGCGTCGAGGCGAATCCTTCCGTGGCGACGAGGCCGCAACAAGCGAATATGAGAAACGGGTAGCAGTATGTTAGAACCAACATCTGCACTCATATAGTATATGATATCTCGGAGTTCCGCGTGGATTTCTTGGATCGGGGAAAGACCCCCCCCCCTCCATGGCGCCCGGGGTGCGGCGAAACGGGCGTGACGCCGACAATTGAACGTCGGCACTGGGTGCCTTCGGCGCAACTCCCGATTGGGCCACGAAACGTGTGAGTGGTGTGCCGAAACGGGTGTGACGCACACATGCGAACGTCGCCACTGGGGCCTTTGGCACAACTACGTATGCGGCCAGGCAGCGTGCGCGCGGTGTGCCGAAGCGGACACGTAGAGGACAAAGGCAGGAATGGGAGGAGGGAGGAGGGGAAGGGCACTGGGAATGAAGACGCCCAGTTCTGTCGTTTCAGAACGAAGACCCAACAACACAGGATGATTAGGAAAAACAGAGAGGCTGGAGAAAGGCAAAACTGGGAATTCCGTGTGAAAAGGGAATGGCCATGGCCAAAAAACACCGGCAGGGGCCGCGATGAGCACGAGGCTGCCGGGACAAGGCCGCAGGGGCTGGAGAGACAAGTTGGAGAGAGACTGGCCAGGGGCGGAACGATTAGAAAGCCTGGCCCCAGCCACTTTTTCAGGCCTCCCTGCACGAAACCTACCATACGTCACCACGCGCACGGAAGGGCCCGTGCCGGAGGGGCCCGTCTCCTCAGGCGCATCACCTCCGTGGCCTCCGACAATACGTGTGCCTTCTCGACGGCTGGGTCGGCCACCGGTTGCCCGAGTTCCTGTCTAGTCACCCCGTAGAACAAGGACGCACGATAAGGATGCAAGGGGCTTGGAAGGCCATGGCGACACATGGCGAGCTGGGCGCGGCCAGCGAAAGCGGCCAAGGATGGTCCGAGGGGGAAAGATGCAAAGGCAACCTTGGAAAGTCGTTTATCCTTACGGTTGCGGGTTGACTGTAGACGAGTCCTGATGACGGGCATGTTCCGATCTGCGTTTCTCAACCAAAGGAAGGGTGTATCCCTAATAGCCACGTCACCCAGAATGGCACGCGAAGTGCCGATGCCAGTTCGCACACTGCTCAATGCGTGCTGAATCCCCCGGCCTCCCTCTTATATTCTTAGCCGAAATGGTTTACCGTTTCAACCACGCGCGGAACGTATCCCCGCTTCTATTCTTCACCCTGGATATTGCATCTGAGAGCTGCATGTCCATGTCATCCATATGTCACCAAGCGCTGCAATAGTTCAAAAGACGAACCGACGCCAAGAGGTCCCAGGAGGTCGGCGGTGTCAGGCGCGGTGGAGGCGCGGCTGGGGGGTCCCGGCGAGGATTTTGCAGGGTGGATGGCCCTGAGAAATGGATGCGCGGAGGCCCCGATTAGCCACTCGCAACATCTGCCTTTGCAGGACCCCTCGAGTGAGCGTGAAATCTCCGACGCGCGACCAGAGCTTTACAGAACATGCCCCAAGGAACAGCAGGCCATCCGCTCATAATCATTTTCATGCCATCGACCAGCACCGTGGACCACCCCGGGCTTCGAAGCCCCGAGCACCCTTCGGCTGGATGCCTTGACTGCGAGCCCCTCGATCTGCTGTTCAGCGCGATGTTGGAGGGGAAGAGCGGGATCGGACGCGGCAGCAGGTTCCACAGCAACCTCGGTGCTTCAATGTCTAGTGCATCCTCGCAGAGCTCGATACTGGTCCGCGGGGACTTCCTTGCCCGGCTTCGTCGTCGCCCCCCGCGGCAGGAGGGCGCCGCGGGGCCCCGCGCGCTCGGCGACCCCGCGACCGCGCGCAATCCGCCCTCCAGAAGGGGCTTGCCAATGCAACTTTGCGCTAGACACGAACTGCGCGTAGGCGTCGCTGCCCTCGATCAGCCCGCGGACTGGCAAATCGCGCGCAATGGGCTGCATGGGTAAGAAGCCGCCAGACCCTCCTGCGCCAAGCAACTTTGGCCAAATCGATGCTGCGTTGATGTCGACGGATTGGTTGGGCCAGGTAGCTGGGTGCGCGTTGCGCGCGGCTGGCGGCGCGCTTCGGCCCCTCACAATTTCCTTGCCCACGCAGATCTGGGCGCGAAAGTCCCAAAAGCGTCGCGGCAACGACCGGCTCCCGACGCGATTTGCGCGCCCTCCACCCCGCTGTAACATCCAGCCGGTCTGTCGCTGCGTTCGCCGATCGCGCAGAGGTGCTGAAAAGCAGCGTGCCCGTATATCGACGGTGTCCGACGTTGCTGCTCTCATTAATGCTAATTTCTTCGCGGCCGCGAATGCGATCCCTGCCCTGGCGGCGACGCCGCGGCAGCCGTGGATTCCTGACCGCGTAGTGGACATCGTCAGAACACGCGCGGATGCCAAGCGCCGCGGCGACGCGGCGACGGAGAACCAGTTGAATCAGCAGGCGAAGTCGTCGGTAGATTGAGACCGCGCAATTATTGGGGTCTTCTCGCCGCTGGAGACCGGGGGCGAACTCGCAAATTGCGAAGGACATGTGCGCCCAAGCAAGGTCGCATGCGACACTTGCGCGGCAGGCTTGTCGATCCCGATTCCCGTCGAGGGACGGCAGCAGATTTTCTCTGCAGCGCGCAGCGGGCGGCGCGGGATGCAATGCCCACGCAGGCAACTGCGATGGGCCCCGCACCCCCGGTGGAAGTCGGGCCCTTTCAGGACCCAGAAGTCGCAGAAGCAGCAAGGGCAATGAGACGGGACAGAGCCCGCGGATCCAATGCGATCCCAAGAGACTTCTGGAAGGCAATATGTAGCTCAGGTACACCGGCGCGGGCTTGGGCCGCTGCCTGCGCCCGAAATACGGGGAAGACGGTTGCATCCAGGGCAGCTGGCGCGAGTCGCTGGTGACGGCCCTCTTCAAGAAGGGCGACCCTCCCCTGCGCGGGAACGACGGGCAAATCTGCTTGCTGCAGTCTGGACATCAAATGTTCTCGACCATCCCCTCGTGCTGCTTGGAGCGGGCAGGGGCTGAAGACATAATCTGGCGGACGCAAGTTGGGCCCAAGTCAAAGCGCAGCGCACTTGAAGCGATCGCGAGGCGCAAGTTGAAAGAAACGTTCGCGCGGGTTGACGTGCCGCTTGCATTCCTCGCGCTGGATGGGGTCAAGGCTTCGGCAGCGTCGAGATGCTGGACATCACCCAGGCAATATATTATGACCGGAACTTCGCTGTGCGCGACGCGGGCAAAACGTCGGAGCAGCGAGGGCAGCGGGCGGGAATATGCAAACGATGTCCTTTGTCGCCGCTCATATCTGCCATCTTGATGACCGTCCTCCTTTTGGACGCGAAGAGCGCGCTCGGCGACCCAGCCGGGGGCGTTAGTGATTTGCTGTGCGTGAACGATGCGCTGGTCGTGGCTTCTGTCGCAGCCGACGCGGTGTTGTACATGACTGTCATCGCAGACGCCACAGCCCACGTCGGCTTGGAGCACACTTGGCGGAAGCTGGAGCTCATGGCCACTGAGTGCAAAGGTCCTGCTATACTTAGTGAGCCTGTCGGCCGCCCAATCCTACAAAAGACGAGCATAGTATACTTCGGGAGCGTCTTGACACTTACTGGATATGATGGTGCAAGGCTGGTCGGCGGATCCGCCTAGCCGGGTCCGAATTCGATTCTCTGCAACGAGTCAAATCTCATTCCACGATGTAAACGGCAAGAAAATCTCAAAATTTCCGTCGCACGCGTGCAACCAGAACTTCTGCACAACCTTCGCACATCTTGATTGCGTCAGCACGAACTGTCGAGAGTGCATGATTTTCAGGCGCGATGCACGCGACGAATCTTAAGCATCAAACATTCGTACGTCAATCGAGTCACCAAGGCCACGGTGTTGCAGCGAGCCGGACGCGGCAAGCTCAGCGACCTCTTGTTGCAGCGGCAATTGGTGGTGCTTTTCGGGATCGCACGAAAAGTCGACGACCATCCTCTCCGCGAGGTCGTCATCCAGCCCTCATCTCAAGATATGGCGCAGGTGCTCGGCCGCCGCAAGAGGGGCAGGCCCCGGCAGACGTGGGCAACATAATCGTCTAAGCATGCGATGCAAGCTTGTCGCAATTATTGTTATAACTTTTCACATTTGGAAACGTTTCCGGCGGAACCCTAGAAAGCAGCAGTGCGCAAATATACTGTCTAGGGCACGCTCGTGCCATTGCTGATGTGCCTACGGACGCCGTTTCACTCATTCATTCTGGCCCACTCCCAGCTTCTGGAAGCCGCTGAAGACCTCCAGGGACAACGTGTACACGTCAAGATCCAAGGCGAAAGCAAAGCAACCTCTCCTCCTGTTCCTCCTGTTCCTCCTCCTCCTCCTCCTCCTCCTCCTCCTCCTCTTCCTCCTCCCCATCCTACGGTCATCTACGGAACGGCCCGAAAACCAGAGCCCCTCCCGAGCCCAAAGTGGCCCTTATCTCATGTCAGCACTTTGACTGCACTCCTGCTTCTTCCCCCTCCCTCTTCCAGAGGCGCGGAGGGGCGCTGCCGAGTCTGCAAACCCGAGGTGCTTCTCCCTGTACAGGCCCACGTCCTTCAGCGTGAACTTGTCCGAGTCGGGACCCCACGCCTTTGGATCCTCCCCTCGCGCGAAGTGGCTATCCCCATCAGGAAGGGGAGGAGGAGGAGGAAGACATCGGAATAACGACTGCACCAGCAATCATCAGCAATAGCCCCACGATGGCCCAAGGTGGGCCTAAGAAACATCCAAACTTTACTTGAGAGAGCCCTTAGAGGCCTGGCCCGCTCACTCTCTCTCCCCTCCGAAATTGCCCCATATGAATACTACTCTCCTCTCTCCCGTGATGACGCCCAGAAGATATCCGGCCCCCCTCCGCATACGGTTTTTTGGCACACAGGATGCCTGGGAGTTGGGTTTTCGCTTCGGCTTTTTCTGGGCTCAATGTTCGGGTTTCCGCTCGTTCCGAAACGTGATACCGCTGCAGCGCTGGCCTCATTTCCGCGTTGCTGCTCGTTCCGAATCGCGCTCCCGCTGCAACGCTGGCCTTCCGTCCAAATAGGCTCCGAAATCAAAATAAGGCCCTTCCGGAAAAACATTGGAAGTGATTACACATTCGGTGTCGATTCGTTGATGTTTCGGGCCGCAAGCTCCCCCCGCTTTGGGGCGTCGTCGTTGTCAGGAAGTATCAAGCGGGATCCCTTTTTCTGCTTTGAGAAGACGATGTTGAAAGCAGAGCCAGCGGGTGCTCTCCATCAGCCCCGCCTTGCGTGGAGCCTTTCGGAAAGCCCAAGGAGCTCGACATGAAGCCACCACTCCAGACCGGCCCAGGCCTCTACCTGACACCATGCCATGACATGATGTGCGGTGTTGTGTTCTGCGCCGCTGTGCGATGTCATGCTTTGCGCTGCAATGCTTTATGATGCCACGTTTCACTGCACAACGCCACGCCATGCTATGGCATCTACGCTCTGCCGTGCTCTTCCACGCCATGCCATGCCGTGCTCTACCATGCATCGCGTACTTTCTCGCGATCATTGCCGTGCTCGACATCCGACAATGCAAATAGAGAGGATATCTACGCCACGGTAAAGGATGGGATGGAGGGGTAGGACGTCAGATATGACACGGGCGCACCTAGCTTGGGTTTCCCCCCTCCCCCACCTCCCGCTTCCATCCTCCCCCTCCTCCAACTTCCACCCTCATCATCCTCTGCTCAACATCCCACTGTCACTCTCTCTTGGTGACCGTTCCACTCAGGGTCGGCGGCACCAGCCGTAAGGCTTTCGAAATGAACAATCACATAAACACAGACTTTCGGAGGTCCGCGCGAAAACCGTGCACCGGCCCCAAATCCCCTCTCCTGCAATGGCGCGGGAAGCGCCCCAGGGGCAATGGTGCCGCGCCGGAAGCACCACCAAGGGGACCAATGGTCGACCCAAGGAATCCGCGCGGACCTCTGAAGGCCCATGCTGATGCAGCGCTTCCTTCTCGCAAGAGAAGGAGCGGGGGCGGGAACGAACAGGATGGGCCGGGGATCTCCTGACCCGGGTCAATCCAGACCCGGGTCAGCAGGAAACCAAAAAACTGAAATGCAAGAACAAAAAAACTGCAACGCAGGTCTTCGCAAACCCGGGCTAGCCAATATGCGCGGCCGCCACGCGGCCACGAGCGGCTCACTAACGCGGGTCAGCCAGAGGGGGTCTTCGCAGGATCCTGCAGGATCCGGTGCCCTGGCTGACCCCCGTTTGCATTGACCCCCGTCTCGAGGCTCCCGATGGGGTCGGTGGGGGGGGGGGGCCGGGCCCCGCGGGCTGGAGGCGCGGCGCGCGCTGGCGGGCCCGCAGCCCGTCCGCAACTGCAGCGCCCCGTGGCGCGGAGGCCTGGCGCCCAGGTTCTGCCAAGGAGGTGGAGGCGGAGGCGGAGGAGGAGGAGGAGGAGGAAGCGGAGGAGGAAGCGGAGGAGGAGGAAGCGGAGGAGGAGGAAGAGGAGGAGGAGGCGGAGGAGGAGGAGGCGGAGGAGGAGGAGGAGGCAGAGGAGGAGGAGGAGGAGGAGGAGGAGGAGGAGGAGGAGGAGGAGGAGGAGGAGGAGGAGGCGGACGAGGAGGAAGAGGAGTGAGCTCAACTGTCCTGACCAGGCCCACCCTGGGCCCAGCATCGGTGCATGCCGCCCTCCTGCCTTTACCACCACGAAGGCATGTACACCCATTCCGGGCACAGGGTCGGCCTGGCCAGGATTGGCGAAGGTGCGCGTGTCGTTGGCTCCCGCCGACCTGGCTCCCCCCCCCCCCCCCCCCCCCCCCCCCCAGCAACCACTGTTTCGCTTCAGCGCTATTTTCGAGGGGGCGGGGAGGACGAACGAAGAGGGCGAAAGCACCAAACCCAAGAGCCTTGAAGCCGAGGGAGGGCAGGGGAGGAAGAAGCAGTGTCACGAAATGTGGCCCGTAGATGCTGTCGCCCGCATCATGGGCTGGGGGTGCAAACGAGGGCGACCCCTCGAGCAACTCCTCGGGCTGCCTGAGGGCCTGGCTCACCGCACGTTTCGGGCCACCGGGGCGCTCCACGGGCCCCGGGGCCGTCGAACAGCCACCCAAGATGAAGAGCTGGTTTACGTGACAATAAAAGCGGGTCCAAGACTCTTTTCCCGCTGGACTTCTTCCCTTCATGGAGAAAAACCATTCGAGATTACCTCAGATGTCACGACTCGCTCACCATTGCCTCCATCCTGCGGCAATCCGATGCCCGCTGAAACCGCTCTTGCTTGAACTCTCCGATCGAAATCGTACGGGCCAATCGGCGGCGAGCCCAGGGGGAAGTGAGAGGGGGTAGGCCTCGCCAGTATCAGGAAACAAAAAGGGCTTCTCAAAGACCTCGCGGCTCTGAGAAACCGCCTGCGGTTCTTACAAGGCTTGTCAGAGCCGCGATGGCTTCTGAGAAGCCCCACCGCCTTCTGAAAAGGCCTGCTCCCCTCTGACTTCCCCCCCTGGTCTCGTCGCCGAGCCGCGCCTGGATACCCAATGCCCTGCACCATCCCCAGGCTCCCTCAGGGTCGCGGACAGGTGCAGAATGTGGCGGTGGCCGTCCTGGAGAACGTGCACAAGGGAAGGGGCAGGAGGGCGGCTCAACAGACGGAGCGGGTGGAACCGCTGGGCCAAGCAGCCGCTGGGTGAGCAAGGCAACAATTGGGGGATGGGTTCGCAAGCAGCTCAAACGAGGCTACGCATCTAGATTACAAAGGGCCATTCGACTGGACCAGGACGGGCTAAGCACAATATTAAGCCCGATGAAGCTGAAGGGCGAAATGATAAAAGGACGTATGCCATATGGGGCGGGTGGATTTTCGACCACGGATACAAAAGCGCTGATACTGAATTCCAGCCCTCAAGAAATCACACGGCTGTTCATACGTAATCGGCTCGGCATCTAGACCTCAATATTTCAAACTCTCAGCCAAGATATCCGAGCTTACACAACTCGCCAAAACGAGTGTGGCCCTAGGAATACTAATGAAACGGTGCGACGCTCATACGTTCTAAGCATTAACTGGACCGTTGCTGCTTACGAGCACTTCAAGGTGCGACACGCGACACAGTTTGGCAAGAGCCAAGAGAGAACGCTGCTCGTGTTGGACAGTGACTGCCTCCGGCTACAGAAGGGCCTCGACCCTCCCCATGGACGCCAAGATTGCCTCAAGAGAGCCTAAGCGGACCACGGCTGGCTCTGGCATGGCCTGAGTAAGCCCAAATATGGCTCCAAGAGACCAGCGGAGGCTCCACAATGGCTCCGCCACGGTCGCAGATGTCTCCCAAAGGTGGCCCCCACATGCCCCCCGCCAAGCTCCGAGAAAGGCGCGGGTGAATCCCAGACGGCGAACGAGCCCTCCAAGAAGCCGAGGCTAAGGCCCTCGCAGACTTCGTCGCGGTGCCGGTCACCACTTGGGCGAAGATCCAGGCGGGGAAGCAGGCGCGGGCAGTCCGAGAGGGCGGCCAGCATTAAGGGCATGGTGGCCGTCCTCCTCAGAAGACCCCCAATCTTGTGAGGAGCCGACAGTCCCTCGGATCTGGCTTACAAAGCTTCTCCGAACTCGCCATCGCTCTGACGTCCACTTCCCGTACATGTTTTCAGGTTTCGTGCGTGCTGTTTTTGTTCCCAGGATGCTCCAAGATGCTCCTCGATGGCCCTCCGCGAGCAACAAAAATGTACACATCCGATCGGTGCCAGGAGAAGGGAAGGCTGGGGTCTTTCTGAGCCTGCTGGAAGACTCGCCCCCTCTGCCCTCCCTCCTGCTCATGCTGCCGATGCCAAGGGACGCCGAAAAATCCCCGAGGAGCGTCGACGGATGCCCATTACGTAATGGTCGGCGGCGAGCGAGGGGGGGAAAGACAAGGGGCGGGCCTTCTCAGAAGGCTCGGAAATCCCCCGGCTTTCTGAGAAGTGTTCGACGCCTTCCCCAGAGAAAACGGGAAACCTCTGAGAAGGCGCGAGGGTTTCTGAGAAGTCCCGCCGCCTTCTGAGAGGGTCTTCTCCTTCCCGCTTCCCACCCACTCGCCCGCCGCCGAGATGGTGCCCGAGCGAACACCCGAGCCCCCCGAACGAACGAACGAACGACGAACGACGCGCGAGTCGTCCCTGCACTGGGACGGGCTGGCTAGCGGCCTGCGCGCGGCGGCCGTGGCCGCTGACCCTCACTACACGTCGGTCGGAAGAAGTGGGTAGAAGCATGAAGTAGGAAGGCGGATATAGTAGATTGGATCCAGGTCCTCCCAGAGAATAACAAAACAGAGCAAAAGCATGTCGATTATTGAAGTAGGAAGGCGCTTGAATGAGATTGGAATCTGAGATTCCAAAAATACCTACTTTCAACGACCGGCGTGTACCTATTGGGCTCCTTCACGGTGCTATGCAGAGGGATCCTCCTGCAAGCAGGTAACCAGGTGATGTTTAATGCTGTCACGAACCATGTGGTGTCGTTGGTTTCACTGCGCTGCTGCGTTTGATGTTTCCAATATTGTGTTGTTCCGCTTCCCCGCCGGATGGTTGCTGCAGGCTGTGCACATATTTCCGTATGTCGTTGTCACACCTCTTGTGTTATTCGTCTTGTCGTCGCCTCCCCTGTTGTTTCGCATGGAATCTAGGGCTTAGGGTCGGCGTGCGATTCGCAACTCATGCGGCCCAACGCCATTTTCCATCTGGGCACGTCGTGATCACCGGAGTCTTGCGACTGGTCGCAGCGGAGGTCACATCTATGCTGGTTGCGTGTCGCTGGGGTGGGTGCTGTGTGAGACGACCCTGTGCGCCGCCGTGGTGTCCCGATGATCATCCGCACCATTCATTTTTGTGTTCGGCGCAACTGTTGTCTCAGAAGCTCTGCTGAAATCCATGATTCTGCGCCGAGCATCATAGAGGGTATGACGGTACCGCGATTGGTGTATGTGGTTGCGAAAAGGGCCCTTGTTAGTGAGTTCTTCCGTGACCAGTGAAACATGCCCACGCTGCTTGTATGCGGTGTTGGACCTCTGTCGCGGAAGTGTCGTTGAAGGTGATTACCTGGCCGAGGTATGTAAGTTTGCAAGTGTGGGACCATAAGTAGATGTCCATGTTTGCCACCTGGACTGCACGTATCCAAGCGCGGAGTTGATTGATCATGGTGTCCGTCTTGGTTGAATGGATTTCGAGGCCATGGGGGCTTTTCATGACGTGGTTAAATATGTCACCTGTATCTTCACGTTGGGCACTGGTTGGCTGACCAACAGGGTGTCGTTTGCGAAGCGGAGGTTGATGAGAATGGGGGCGGTGGTGTGCACCAACTGAACACCTCGCCAGAGGAGCTGCCAATCCGAAATGAGCGGATGTAGGATATGTTGAACAAAAAGCGTTAAAGAATGACGAACTCAAAGGTCCGCCTTGATTTGTGCCTCGCGGGAGCTTGGATAGTTTGCTTGTGGAGTCTGTGCGTAAAACAGTTGTCTGGTCGTGGTAGGGGCCCCGCAGCAAGTGGATATACACTTGCGGTATTCCCTGGTCACGCAGGGCTGTCCACAGGCCGCTGTGCTCCAGTATCGAACGCTTCTTTAAAATCAGCAGCTGCGATCCACAATGCTTGATTCAATTCGTCGGCTCGCCCCCGTAGAATGCTGAAAACGAAGGTGATCGCGTGTGCCACGTCCGGTTTTGAATCCTGCTTTTGGTCGTCTGTGCTGGTCGAATGCTGGTTGCAGTCTGCTGTGCAACAGTCGGCTGAAGAGCGTGTAAACAAGTCGTAATGTGCATATCGGGTGGTAGTTCTGTGGACGAGTCAGATCAGCCGATTTAGGAATATCTGTCATGCTGGTGTTCCACCACTTACTTCTCTGGCGTGGGGCCATTTGGTTGCATGATGTATGACCGCGATGTACAATTTCAGCGTTTGAGTTCCTGGCTAGGTCGGTGGAGCATCTCAGTCTTGACCCCTGCAGTGTCGGTTGCCTTTCCTCGTTGAATCCCACCAGCCCCTTTAGGCCGTAAATGGTTTAGGATGTTTCTTCTTCCGCCCCTTTCCCCTTCGGGGAGGGGTTTGCCCCTCCCCCTACCTCCCCTGGACCTGGACGGGGCGTTCCGCGGGTCACAAGAGCGTCCAAAACGGCCTCGGCGAGGAAGCCCAAATCATTGGTTTTACTAAGGTCTTGGCCCCATGTGGGCCTCTTGCGGGGGCGACGCTGATTGAGGGACCCCCCTTCTTTGATCGATCTCCTCCGGGATGGCCCCACGGGCGCTCCCAAGGCTCCCAGGGGTGCCCCAAGAGGGCCCCAAGAGGTGGCCAGGAGGCCCCAAGAGGCCCCCAGAATGCCCCCAAGAGGCGCCCAAGAGGCCCCCAAGAGGCCACAAGAGGCCACCCAGAGGCACCCAAGACGCTCCAAGAAGCCTCGGCGAGAAAACCCAACTCACTGATGTGACCAAGGTTTTGGCCACATTCTGGTTTCCTGGAGGGGGGGGGCACTGCTTAAGATGACTCCTTATGCGCCTTGGAGAGCCCAAGATGACCTCCAAGATGGCTCAAGACACCCCAAGATGCCGCAAGATGGCTCCCATGATGCTCCAAGACGCCCCAAGACCGTTCCAAGACGGCTCAAAATGGCCCAAAAGCTCCCCCAGGAGGCCCCGGAGACGCCCAAACTCCTCCAACACATTAGGGAAATCAGTGTTGTCGGCTTTCTCGCCTTTTCGCTTCCGGTGGCCATCCGAGGCCTCAAGATGGCTCCAAGATTGGCCCAAATGGCTCCAAGAGCGCTCCCAAGGATCACAAGAACGCTTTAGGAGGGCCCCAAGAGGTGCCCAATAGGCCCCAGGAGGCCCCAACAGGCGCCCAAGAGGACTCCAAAAGGCTCCCAACAGACCCCCAAGAGGCCCCAATAAATTTTTCGAAGCAGCCAAGACGCTCCAAAAGTGCTCCCACAAACCCTTTAGGGCGTAGGTGGTTTAGGACGTTTCTTCTTCCACCCCTTTTCCCCTTCGGGGTCTATCACTGTTCCCTATTAATAAACACCCCCTCCCCCAGACGGCTGGGGGCCAACCAGGGACCATGACGACCCCCCCCACCATCCTTTTTAATAAAAAACAATACGAAACACACTCTGCCTCCAAATTCGGAACATGCGCAGCCAACCCGATGCGGCCCCCCCCCACCATCCCTGTCAGAAAACACTACAAAATACACTTGGCGGCGGCGGCGGCGGCTGCGGCGGCGGTGACGGCGGTGACGGCGGTGACGGCGGCTGCGGCGGCGGCGGCGGCGGCAGCGGGGGCGGCGGCGGCGGCGGCGGCGGCGGCGGCTGCGGCGGCGGCGGTAGCGGTGGTGGCAGCGGCTGCGGCGGCGGCGGCGGTTGGCAGCGGGGGGCGGCGGCGGCGGCGGTTGCGGCGGCGGCGGCGGCGGCGGCGGGCGGGCGGGCGGCGGCGGCGGCGGCGGCGGCGGTGCGGCGGCGGCGGGCAGCGGCAGCGGCCGCGGCGGCGGCGGCGGTTTGGCAACGGGGGGCGGCGGCGGCGCCGCTTGCGGCGGCGGCGGCGGCGGGCGGGCGGGCGCGGCGCGGCGGCGGCGGCGGCGGCGGCG